TTCTTGCAAACACTGAGGTCTCCTTTCTTCGGCACTTTGACAAGATAGTCCTTCTTCCAATCGACAGGTACCTTCTCTTCCTTCCACACCTTCTGCAATAGTGGTGTGGGCATGTCCGCTGTTGTCTCTGCATCTGTTCTCAGTGCTTCTGGCGGGATCCCATCTGGTCCTGCTGGTTTCCTTCACTTCAGTAGCTTTATGGAGCTCAGGATTTCCACTCTTGTTGGAGGATTTATGTTCACTTGTAGTTCTGTGGCTGGAGGTGGTATTTCTGGACGAAGTGCAGGTGGTGGTTTTTTTTTTCGATTCAAGAGCTTCTTGAAGTGGTCAGCCCATTGTTTCCCTCGTTTCTCTTCTTTCGTGATTAAATTTCCTTCATCATCTATTTTTGGTTTCGTCTGCGTTGATCTCCTCCCAGATAGTAACCTGGTTATTTGATACAATGTTGTCTGTTTTTTGTCTCTCCTACCTGCAGCCTGTTCCGCTTCACTTGCAAGTGTGTCGTAGAAGTGTCTTTTGCCTTTGCGTGCACTTTTCTTCACTTCTTTGTCCAGTGTTTTATATATTGTACTCAGTTCCTCTTCTCGTTGAGCGTTCTTGCACTGGTTTATCTTCTGCTTCACCATCCTCCTCTCCTCTATCAGCTTCCAGGTATCCGTCGAGATCCATTCCTTATCTTCTTGCTTCTACCTTCCTAATATGGTTGTGCAGGTTTCTTTCCACATCTCCTTCAAAGACTTCCACTGCTCTTCCACACCGGTTTCTTCAGGGACGTTCCTCGATATCTCCCATTTTGTCATGATGGCTGACGTGAGGATTTCCTTTGTAGTTTCGTCTTTCAGATTCTGAGTGTTGAACTTGAACTGCGGTCTATCACCAGCATCCTTGAAGGCTTTCGACTTGATTTGGAAGGTTCCTTCCACTAGACAGTGGTCTGAACCTACATCTGCTCCTCTTCTTCACCTTGTGTCAAGTAGACTGCGTCTCCATTTTCTTCAGATTGAGATAAAGTCGATCTGATTTCTAGTGTGTCCATTTTTCTGGTGAAATCCATGTGACTTCGTGAATATCCTTGTGCTTGAACACACTGCCTCCAATCATCAAATCGTTGAATGCGCAGAATTCTCCAAACAGTTCTCCATTCTCGTTCATCTCACCGAGCGCCTCTAGACCCATGGTTAGTTCTCTTCCCGTGTTGTCACCTCCCAGTTTGGCATTCATGTCGCCCATTAGAATTTTGATATCGCCAACTGACGTCTTGTCCAGTGTTGATTGAAGTTGTCTGTAGAAATCCTCCTTTTTCTCTTGCTCTGCATTATTTGTAGGTGCATAGCATTGTATGATTGTGACCTTCCTTCCTTTTGAGTTGAATCTTGCTGTCATGATCCTGGAGGAGATTGGTTCCCACTGCATGAGAGCCTTCGATGCTCTTGGGAAGGGACATCATGATAGCCATTCCCTCAGTGCGCTCGTGGTTGTCGTCTGGGTGACAGTATCGGAGTAGATTATTGATTCTCCAGTTGATAGTTTGGAGAGTCCACTCCCATTCCATCTGCTTTCGCATATTCCAAGCACTTCAATGTGACACCTCTTCATCTCGTTTGCAATCTGGGCTGCCTTACTGGGTTCAAACATGGTGCGAACATTCCATGTCCCCACGTTTACTTTCGCTTTCATCGAGGGAGAGAAGACACATCGGCCCGGCCAATTGGCTTCCCGAAGGCTTTCACCAACCACAGTCATTTCGCCTCTTTGATTCCAGTGAGGAATAATTTTGTTTTCATTTTTTATATTTTGTTTGTGCTTTGAAGTTTCTTTAGCGGTTAGATTTGTTTTACGGGGTAGGGTTGCTAGCCCTATGCCCAACCTTCCCTCTTTACCCGGGCTTAGGACCGGCTAGTAACTAGTGAGCTAGTTAACCAGGTGGAAATACCGAAAATTTACTGGCCATTTTAACAACTGCTAGGGCGCCCTTAAAAGTCAGTCGAAGAAATGGAGTAAGTAACTTGGAGGCTACCCTAGTAACAGAAATGACCAATTAGACTTGTCTTTTTTTATGAAAATCTACCTTTCCAACCGAAATGAAGAAACCTAATCGGTTATTTCGATCGTTGCTAGAGTGGCTTTTAAAGTCACCCGAAGAAATAACAAGCCCGATTCGATAACGGTGCTCCACGTTATCAGCAGAACTGGTAGCGGATGACAATGGTCTCAGTAACGTCATATACATCATTCAGGAAGTAGGCGATGTGATGCACGAGTGACTTTACAAGCGACTTTAAAGGCTACCCAAGCAACTGTAGAGATAACCAATTACTTCCCTCTATTTTGCGAAAAACCATCTTTCTATTCAAAATACGAAAACCTGATTGGTTATTTCAGCAGCTGCTAGGTTGGCCTTTAAAGTCCCTCTGATGCAAGTATTATGCCAGGAATACCATCACCTAGTCAGCAAACAACATCTGATGGCCCTTCTAGCAACTACGGAAATAACCAAATGAGTGTCAGCCTCATGTAAAAACTACCTGCATAGCCAAAATAATAAAGACATAATTCAAGCGATTGCTAGGATGCCATTTAGAGTCGCTCAAAATGTGAAGAAACGGGGCGGCTTCAAACGCCACCCTAACAACTGTCAAAATAACCATTCAGATTATGATATTTTGGCTGGGAGACAGTTTTTCATAGAATAGAGAAGCGTTATTGGTTATTTCACTATTTGCTAGGGGTGGCCTTAAAAGTCACTCTACAATTCACGCATTAAAAGCGGTAACTCATTTCGCCGCAGCGATCAGTGAAGTCCCACTAACCAAATCAAGCATGACGTCATTTAGACAGTGGAGCATACAATTGAAATACATTATGTTAACACAGGGAGACTTTTAAAGGTCACTCTGATAACTTTTGAAATGACCAAACACGTTTATCTATTTTATGAAAAAAAACTACCTTTCTAGTCGAAATATAGAAACCTGAGTGGTTATTTCAGTGATTGTTAGCATTGCCTTCAGAGTCACTGATTAAAGTAGGCATCATATGAACAAGAAAAATGATTTCAAATAAGGATTTTTAAAAATACTGGACTAGAGAGTGATTTTGCAGCTAAAATCAACCTATATCTCTTAGAATCTCACACATTCTAGAACCTATATAAAAATAATACTTTATCACTGCCTCATGGCTGTGCAATACGAATATACAGCACACCATGGATGACTGCTGTCACCACCACCATCACCCTTAGCACATGCCGAAATCCAAATACTTTATGACTGAAAACGTTACTGAATAAAATGATCCAATATAGGTGACAGTATCACACATTTCACCTATAATAAACAAACAGAGACGTAAAAATAGAGCATCTCTATTTGACAGTGAAGAAAGCGAGGAGATGATGGTATATCTGCAATCTAAAAGACCTGTCATCAGAGTCAATTATAACTGTTCGGAGGACAGCTGGATATTAAAATATAAGGAAGGTATGAGTACCATTTCAAAAGAAAAACCGTCCCGATATTCCTTAAACACGTAAAACAACCGCGCTCTATGACACCCTATTCAGTATAGCCAGTTAGCATTAAAATGGGACTGGGCATCACTGAGTACCAGTTCAAGTTCTCACAACCCATATCAATCAGCCTATCAAGATACATGGTAGGAAGATGAAAGCTAGAGAAATAGGTAAGAAAGTAATCAAAAGTGGTGAAAACTGAGTGAGAAGAAAAACTACCGACGATATTCTGTATAACTTTTTAGATGAAGATAATGTTAGATGTATTTGTAAAACTGAGATTAACTCTCATTCAATGTCTTCAACCACCGATTTCGGTTGTAACGCGGATCCTAATCGGGAAGTTTATACTTCTTCACATGACTCACACCGACAGTCAAAGACTTCATGAACTGTTGCAGTATTTTAATCCGACCACCTTCAATCTTTTAGCATCATAAACGTACCTAAACCAACATTGCGCGACAGAGTAAAAATCAACTAATTATGCGTAGCACATGTTTCAACCATTTAAGTCGGCGAACGTCCACAACCTCATCAACTGATCTACAACTTTTATCCTAAATGCATCGTTTGACTTTTAGGTTAGTAATGTGGTTGCGCGACACACATACTGTGTTAAGAACCCAGTGTAGGTCGAACACATGAAGTTCCCTCTTTTAATCACCTTTCAAGGTTATCATAATGAAACGAAGTGAACTGCAGAGCAGTATACTGAACCTTTAGAAGGACGTCAGAGATAGGACGGTGTAAATTGACGGAAACCAAGAAAACCATTTTTATCCTTGCAAAGATTTCATCGGTTACCGACATATTATAGGGCTGATACAACTCTCAGAATAAATGAAGTGGTCAACGTGTTCGATCACTTCACTTTCTATCATTAGACGGGGCACCAACATAAACCAGTCCTGCACCAAGAGTTCATATGTGGATGATGAGAAACACCAAGGCAAATTGTAGCTTCAGAACTAGATTGCGTTGAAGCCCCCTCTAACGATAGGAAATAAACCTATGTTGAGTGTGTTGATCACTTTATTTACTTGAGGATTTAGCAAATCCTAGTTAGTGTGTTGTACGTGTAAAGACAAATACACCTAACATGAAATGCAACAATGTATCCCTCACACCACATAAGACATTCAAGTATGTGGAACTAGCTTCACTTCATATCTCATTTGACATCTAATACACCTTTATCATACTAAGGTAAAATATAAATTGTTTATATATCCAAGCAGCAGGTAAGCTGTATATTATGCTCAACTTTATAGTCAGTATGAAGGATAATCCGATAACCTACCAGTAAATAACCTCAAAGTTTAATAAAGAGATTACAGCAGGATCTGATGTCAGTGCATACTGATGATCCACGTTGGTCAACTTCATATCAAACAGTGATGGGATGGGGTAGAAAGTTATCATTAGTAGCGAACAGAAACAAAAACTGACACAATCAATTTAAACATGAAAATACTGCACTTACCAAATCTTCAATACCAGCCACAACATTGAAACCATCCTGAAATAGTGTAAAGAAGAGGAGTAAAAAAAGGTTATAATTAACTCTGTGCCTGTACATAGTGTAAATATTTCAAATCGCTTAAAAATGAAAAAAGTTCCTCAGTATTAAATATCACTATCTACGTGCATCAATCAGAGTAGTGTTAGATAACAAGGGGAAAAAATACATGAAGAAGAACCAATATACACAATTAAAACAACTAATCAGTTCAACGGGATATGAAATGAAACTCAGATTAACTTGTCAGAGGTGAATGAAAAACTGAAAATCGATCGAATAATATTAATGTAGCTCAGAAGAAATCAGTATAAGAATAACTCGATATTGTATAAGTGTTATATTATGCACAGTAGTACATTAAATTAACAACACAGGACACTGATCAGTATATTAAACTTAGAAAATACAACACAGTTCAACAAGTTTGTACAGCATTCACTGCTGGGATAGGCATGTATCATACCTAGTCGGTGTAAAAAGACCTATATGATATCAACATATTGGTCGAGCCAGAGTTAGCTTACAGGGATAATGAGTCACCACCTTAGCAACTGCTGAAACGATCAGTCAGGCTTCGATATTTCGCCTGGAAAAGTACTTTTTCACAGAATAAAGGAATGTAATTGGCTGTCTCCGTAGTTGATGTTTAAAGTCACTCATTATGGTTGACCTTATACACCACCTTAGCAGCTACTGAGATAGCCAATTACATCCACTTATTCTGTGAAAAAGTACTTTTCCGGGCAAAATACTGAAGCCTGACTGGTCATTTCAGCAGCCGCTGGGGTGGAGTTTAAATTCACCCCTCTCCAACCTACTTCACAAATTGAATGACCTTCATTTGGGCTTAAACTACCAAAGTGACAGTGAATATTTCGGATGCACTAAGTCATTTTATCACGGAGACCACTGATTGAAGTTCCTTCCCGATCATTCTATTCGTGTAGAACAACATGAACCAAATAAGACCAGAATAAAAACTCGTGAAATATCATCATTTTATCGTATGACTGGTTCAAAATATAGAAATAACACAACAGTATGTCAATTAGAATGTTTACAATTTTTCACAGCCCCCTTGACTCTTGATTCGACCGGGAAAAGTGGCTACATGTCATCGATGAAACAAACTGATATCATGCACAGTTTAATGTTAAAGCCATGAAGAAAACAGTTGCAAGCTTATTGCTAAATATCATGTAAGTGGTAAATCTCTGTTCCTAGTGTCTTCACTTTTACTCCAATGCAGACTAGGTTTTTTTGAAATGCTATTCGTTATGAAGTGTTTACTTGCAATTACAATCCGTATTACACTAAATTAATTACTGGCAATTTTGTTTACGACTTTTATTTGAGTTATAATCAATTCAGATAATAGATTAACCATATTATGGAGAGGCTCGTAAAAAGACAAACTGTTCCCGAAAAAGATGAAAGCCAAAATATTGTATGAAACAGTTACAAAGGGTTCTGTAATAACATTTTGATGCACTTTTTTCGGGAAAAATGATGAAAGGACGTACCAGTACAAAGCGAAATCTAGACCACTCACTCGGTATGATGTGATTTACCTCTGAAAAGATATGGCCGCTTTTACAGGTGTTAGTGACCAAGGATCACAAAACAACAAGAATCCATCAAAACAATAAGAACGCTTCTCCTCTAATTTGAGTTACTTGTTATTTGTGTGAGGGATAGGATGTTTTTCTTCATTTCATTGGAAATTTTGCAATGCTCAGTCTCGCAAAAAACAGATAGCTAGCAATCTTTACTTCACCTTTTTTAACACTCAGTTATTATAATATCAAGTCTTTTGAACGGAGAAGGAAATGAAGTTCTCCGATTTCCAAATTACACTTTCTGGGGGGGGGGGGTCAATCACTATTACCACCACGTTGAGTTGGTAACTCGTTAAGCTATGACACCACATACGTTCATACCAACTTCAGATAGAAACGGAACGTTCCCTCAGCGTATGTATTTAGCATCAAAACTTATCAGCTTGGCATGACAGTCCCCACAAAGAAACAAATTATCCATCAGCGATATTGTTTACATCAGTTATCACAATAAATTGAATTCACTGGTGTGAAAGTCATATGATTTTGTTCAATCTTCGGTACTGACCAAATTGTGTCATAAAAATGAGTGAATCGATGCCACTATGATGAAATGTGCTGGGTACAAGAAAGTTGTAGACAAGAAGTTTACGGTCTGTTAACACTCATCAGTAGAGTACATATAACTATGAAACAGATTGGTACAAGTCGTTGAAAGAGTATCAGCTTCCTTGATGATGCCATATAAGCCACCACACTCGTAACAAAAATCACGAATTTCAAGGCCGGAGCCTTCTACATAACACCCTAATTTCATCTCAAAATGAGTAGTATGCATGAAAAACTGTTATCTTATACCCAGTGAATAAAATGAATGTAACTCAACCCAGTGCAGATGTCAATGCATTAGACTGTGAGTCATTTCGGTGAGAATTAATTGGCTGAATATCAACTTAAAGATGATCCCTAACTGACAATTTCTTAACTGATTGATAGATCATCATTGTTTTATCCTGATCACCTCTTTTGTATTTAAACAACGGTTTATTATACACTTAGTTGGGTCTTGCAACGGCTCCAACTACACTATGGTGAATTTAGGGTATCAAAGTTACCAACAAAATAGCACTGCAATCAAGCAGTTTAGTATCCAAATAAGTAGACATAAAAACCACGTGCAATAACGAAATCGCAAATACAACACAAAAAATCTGAAACTCAGTCCAGTAAATCTTGTCTACCACGCGAAAGCTAAAATTGCTGTGTAAGGGCTTATGATACCACTCAGTTACTTAAGTGGGAGTATATGAAGGGGCAGTTTGAACACGTGACCCATTGCTTGGAAGTTGAGTTCCTAAGGCAATCAGTCACATCTCCACATAGAATATAAATTAGATCGTTAGAAATGTTGTGGAAACCCAGTGAAAGCCACTTATTTCTATAAACAAAATTTTTTTTTCGGAAAAAATGATAAGATTCAAAAAACTTCGATATCATTTGCATAGAAAAAGATAGGTGATAATGACTTTTTGTGTACTTTTTACAACAATCGACACAGTTGAATGGATACATACACTTGTATACATCCTTAAAAACTGGTTTCTGCTTACAAATTATAATACAGAAATATTTTACTTGAAGAATGAGTGATCATAGAAGTCAACTTAACAACAAACCAGATAGGTGTGCTATCGTACTACAGCATGCACAATGACTGTTGCGAACGAAAGCGAATACATCCTCATTGCGCTTCTTCATGCTCCTTCACGCTTCATCAGTGGACGTTCTGCAAAATCATTCATTCAACTTTATTGGTCTTCATTTTCTAACGTATAACTACATTTACTACCGTCGAGAATTCAGTGTTTAATTTCCAGAAATACATTTTCAATGTCTTCGTCAATAATCCTAACTCCTACACAGTGCAATTCGGTAATGTAAGTAAGTAATTAGTGAACAGAGTGAATGACGAAAATTAGTCTGGTAACAGCCAAAAAAGATTCTCGTTTACTAATGAATACAATACAGCAACTCAAAAAAAACATCTAGTCAGATGTATATTCTAATACCATCTACAACTATAGTAAAGATCGATAGTGGTTAGCAGTGGAATCCAGGATGCGCATTTCGTCCTATTTGGGACTCGTCAGCTGGATATACCTGCCTTTCAGTGAGTGTTGTCCCCACTGGGATTCGAACTCGGGACCGGTCGCTTCAAACAACAGAGCGTTACCCACTAGACCACCAAGCAATGATGGCCACTTTTGTGCGACGGGCATAGTTTTAGTGTGATTGCTTGTATTATACTGTCGTTGACTGGGTCAAAATGATCGGTTTCTATTGGCATATGGGATCCTGTCCCGATGCCTCGATATTACCTGTGTTTAATTATGGTATTTATAGTAATGATGGATCACTATAATTAAAACACAGGTAACATAGAGGTATCGGGACAGGATCCCATATGCCAATAGAGACCGATCAACTCGTTCCAATCAACGACGGTATAATACAAGCAGTAATACCATCTACAGCTGCTGTATCAATTCTCCAATGATACTAATTATATGGAGCAGGAAACGAACTACTGAAACACTGATTAAGAGTTGAATAGCCTAGTGAATAACAATTCAGAAACTAATGAGTCTATTTTCTCTGTTGAACTGTTGAACACACCAAGAATATAAATAAGAATAGCTCTAAACATTAGAAACAAGCCAATGGAATTGACTTATTGGTTTAAAGAGCTGACATTTAACCAAAAGGTAACGCGCTGGAACATCTCTTCATTTAGAGAGATTTGGCAACCAGGTAGTAACATTAGCAACTAACACAATAGGTGTGGTGGATTGTCTACTGCACCAGTGTGCACAAGGTTGCTGAGTGCATCTCGATTTCAATTCGAATGAAGTCTCCAAGAAATGAAGAATACATAAAATTCTCATATATATATATATATATATATATATATATATATATATATATATATATATATATATATATATACCTCCCATCGGCAAACGCATACAGGTTCAAAAACTTGATAATCATCACACCTACTATGTAAGGGCTAGAGATCCTATCTAGCTACCCTGACCCATCTAACTATAATAAAGAGAGTTTCAAACTCGCAACTAGTTGAAAGTTGAGTTCCTAGAGGAATGGGCTAAAGCTTTCCCATGGAATGCAGGATCACAGCTACAAAATGCATACATACACCAACATCATTAAAGCTGATAAGTGATATAAACATTTTTTCCACCAAAACTGCTACTAATTAACCAATACAACACATACGTGTCATAATCGTCTCCACTTTACCTTCTTTCCAAATAAAGCGCTACATACAGTGCAAAGCCAAAAATTTTAAAGCATTGTCTACTTTAAACAATAACAATAAAAGATGGACAAAGATAACGACATATTCATTCGCAAAAGGTTCTAGGGAAAAATGAAAGTTATCAACCTATCGTACAAAAGATTTTAAAGGCTGGTTCACCCCTCTCACACATACAGCAACCATGCAAAATATGATAAAGCCTAGATCATTCGAAATATAGTTTGTACAAAAAAAATGGCTTGTGCAAACAAGGCTTTTGGTAGTCAAACAAATGTCTATAACAAGGGGGAATTACTGTTAAAAATATAGGTGATGGAAATAAAGAAAATCTTAGAAAAACGTACTAGCTAACCATGACAAAAGGAAGTGCAGGCAACTTTCATATCTACGGTGTGAAAATGTACACTGATAAACTCTACATCGCAATCAAACTGTGTGAAGTAGGTGAAGAAGAAAGACTATTGTATAGACAAAGGAAGAATTCCTAATTAGTGATCAATTAAGATAATATAACAGTCACTCTATATCTAACTGCGCTACATTATAAATCATGGAAAAGCAAATGACAGAAAGTTATCAATAGTTGAAGAACGAAAATCAAGTGTCTCATCCAACTAGAAGAGGTGAATTCTCAGGAACTGAAGATTGAAGAACAACTTATGTATCCCTAGTAGGTGATCATCAAAAGATGAAGTATTCAAAAACCTGTGTGATCTGCAGACAGACAGACTAAAATCAACGTGGATCCTTGCATATAGATGAATCAGGTCAATTTGCCACAATTCATAGTAGTATACAAAGAACAGATGGATAGAAAAAGTGATAATAAAGTGGTCAAAGTTGTGTGACAGGATAAACAATTTGAAGATATATGTTAGTGCAAATATTCAAGCTTTAGAAGGTGTTAAGGAGTGAATGCATCTGAGTCATTGCGACCGATTTTCAGATATTTCGTCAGCGCCACAGGTGACTAAGTTGACAAATGCCAAATGGGCCTTGTGTATTCTCGAGTAGAGAGTTCCGATTACCGTTATACTTTTTTGGTACTCTTTTCACAGTCAGACACTGCCACAACTCCTCACAGTCGACCGATTCAAATGTCATCTTTAAGTCAACAAATGCAGCAAGTGTGAACCATTGGCCGATAAGTGTTTGTGTTCCAAAACCTATCGGAGGGTGAAAATATGATAGATGCACCCTCGTCCGGCTTTGTCTCAAACGTGTCTGGTTTTCTCGAGTTTGCTATTCTCCAGCACCAGTTAGACGTCAGATAACCATGGACCCTAGGATCTAATTTCCCTATGGTTGTCACAGGAAGACTTCTCTCCGTTCCTACAGACTGGGATGTTCAGTGCAGTACACCAGTCTGGCGGCACTACCTCTAACTCCCATATACTACCTGGTACTTTCGTCACTATAATTAGCAATTTCCTACCTTCATCCTTGAAACACTTTGGGTGGTAAACTGCTAGGCCCCAATGCTTTGCAGCGTTTCAAGTTCAATACAGCTTTATCAACTTCAAGGAGAGTTGGAGAACCAACATCTACACCTGATTCAGGTTCAGGTTGGATGTCGGGTAACTGAAGCGTTGCTGTAGGTCAGTTGAACTTTGCTTCAAAGTGTTCTGCCAACGTCCTAACCACCTATCCTGAGAGATTATCAGCGTCCTATATTTTTTGGTGATGGTTTCTGTAACCATCGTCTTCTTCTCCTAGTGTCTTTAATAGGCCTACATAGTTACCAAGTTCTGGCTAACGCTGATGCTTATATGATCTGCAGGCAAAACGGAATCAGCATCAGTGACAAACAGATACCCGCATAATGACGGATATTAGATAGCAGTGGAGCCCAGGACGCACGTTTCGTTCCATTTGAGACCCATCAGTTAGATGTACTTGCCGCCCAGTGAATGGTGTTTTCCCACCAGGAGTCGAACAGAGGACTGATCGCTTGAAAACCAAGACGTTAATCCACTAGGCGACTGAGTCACGGTAGTCACTGCTTGAGTGATGGATACAGTTTTAATGCTATTGATTGTAATTTCTCGTCGTTCATATCTAAAGACAGAGAGTTTGAACAGACCCAAAATAGAGTTAAGGAATTCTAACAACAGAATGATCACAAAACATAGAGCAGTTTAGCATTTCATCATCCAAGCAATCGAAAATACACTACCACTACTAGTAATAATAATGAAGAGTTCAGAATTATGATGAAATTATTGTTTCGTGTTCTCCAGTCCTCAGTAGCTTTCTTGATGATGATGATTTCAGTTAGTACTGATGTCAAATTAACTAAATGCCTTAATTATCAACTTTAAAAAAAAACAAAAAGTTTATTTGCATGCTATGCGCACATGCAAGGGAACTAAGCTAAGTATTGGATAATTGCTATAATTTACCTTAGTAACAACTTTATTGTTATCATCTTTTCTAAGAGTTCCAGTAAGTTGTTTATCACAGAAATCGTGACTAACAACCACCTCACACCTACCAGCATGATAATGATCATGGCAACTGTGATGTTGTGAAGGTGATGAAGAAATATTCAAATGTTCACTGGATGAACTAGAATGTGATGCAGCATCACGATGAGATGAAGAACTATACTTTTTGTGTATCCATACAATTTTTTATGATTTACCTTATTAATACGACTGACTAATTTAGTTGATTTTGACAATGAAGTATTGCTATGCATTTGGACAGGCTCAGTTGATGATTGGTTGCATTCCTGATGGTCTGATTCAATAGATGAAGACATATCTTTTGGTTGTATGTAAGAGGATAAAGATATTGTAGAATTTGTAGACAAATCACATTCTGTATTAGGATCCTCTTCATCCTCACTGATGATAACAACGTCGTCATCACCATTAACATCATTTCGATCACTAGTTGAGTGGATATTATCATCAGTTACAGTTGCATTACTATCAGACGTCAACGGTAATGTATGACAACTGTCTATCATACTGGAAGTAGAACATAATCCAGACTCATGATTTACAGTTACACCTTGAGAATTTTGTTGCCGAGATGCAAAATGAAGTATTTCAGATGTCGATTTCGGTGATGATGTTGTATGCTGAATGTAAGTGTCAATATCAGAGAAAGCACATAATTCATTATTATTACTACCCCCTTCTAGAAGTTTTAAGGCTTTTAGTATAGACTGACTAACAAGTTTATAGGCTAAATGTTGGGTACTACTAGCACCAGTATTGTTAGTAGTAGTGGTAGTAGTAGTAGTAGCAGAAGTACGATGACTATTTTTTGAGACGATTGAAGATAATGAAGAAGTGGAATGGCTAACAGAGAATATTTGATTCATCACAGTATCATTTGTGTTTGGAGAGGAAGCTACAAATCCCGAACTGAAAGATTGTATCCATGACGGTGTTACGCCTTCAGTTGTCATTAGTGATGATGATGACGGTTTTAGTGGTGTCGATGATGATGGAATTGATGAGTTATGCTGACTATTAGAATTTAATTCAATAGTATTTTTCAATAGTTCATTATTTAATAGGTGTACTGCTTTAAGAACAACTTCATGCACAAAATGAAATGCTAATTCATTAACATTATCATCACAGACAATAGTTGACACATGGTGTTGTCCACATTCAGATGATGTACAACAACGTAAAGGAGGAAGTTGATGATAATGACGATCATTTATTTTGTTTAATAAATGATGATTTGATGTTAACTGTTTATTCAATCCTTCATTATAGCTATAACTTTTACACTTGTATAGTATTTGTGAGAGATTAGTATCAGCTGTCAAAGAAGAAGCAGTTATATGACTCGGTGTCGGTGATCTAGGTCGGGAATATCCCAGTTGCAGTTGTTGTAACTGCTGTGAACGATGTTCAGAAAACAATTCCCGATCATCTTTAGACAACGTTGTATGACTCAGAGAAAGTCTTTCACTCAGATTAGTTGTATGCTTCATCAGAGGAGTTTGTAAACAAGGATAAGAATAGGCAAAATGATTTAATCTATGCTTAAGTGGGTTGTCTCTCCCAAGATAAACCGATAATGATTGTATATCATGCACAGACTACAATAAAATAAACACAACAGACAATGCATATATGCAGTGTTGGTTGTGTATAACATACATATATATATGTGTACAACATTATGATCACAGTTTGTATGCAACAACATTCAAACATGCATTCACAATAAACAGTATAGAAAAAAGTGTTTGTTTTTTTTAAATCCAGGGGTGGGTGGGGGATTGAAGAAACGCGAGAGAGAAAAAAAAGAGAAAATAAGCACCAATGATTATTCATAGTAAATATATAAAAAAGAATTTCATATTGACAACTTTTTATGACTATAATTGGCTGCATAAAGTCGGGTGACAAGTAAACAAATCATGATTATCAAAAGGTTAAAGGTCAAGCAAACATTACTACTACCACAACTACTGATGTTACTTATCTTACTAATAAAAAATAAGCAAACATGGTGGATTTGTTCAATGCAGTTTATACACTTAATTGGTGTTATACACAAATTATAAAAGTGCAACTCAATAGTCATTGTGTACATATACTTAGTAACTAGGTTATCAGTTTTATTTATAATTTAGTGATAGAAGTAAGACAGTACTTGAAATCTGCTAACCAATAATTGAGAGTTGAATCTTTCAAGTATTACGAAATCATATTGAATTGATATAACTGATGATTGATTAAGATGAAAAATGAAACCTTTTATGTTGCATAGCGAAAAATCGTCTGATCATAAGACAAGAATGTAATTAATTTATTTAGTCACTGAAAGTTGTGCTCTTTATTGATCAACTTTGAACTATGGTCCATAAATTAGTTAGAAAACTTTTTATTTCAGTGAAATTTATTTGACGATAAGAAGTTGGAGGCAGTCAGTGGAAAAGTCTTTAACCATGTTTCGTACTTGTTGGCACCCATCAGCAGTACGTGTCTGTGAACTCAAAAAAATCATCACTCCCGACAGAAATCTTGAGGCCTCCTCATGTAGTGTTGTAGTTAGAAAGGTAAAAAAAAATGGAAGTTTACTTGTTTCCTGAAGTATACATTCAATAAGCCATGTATCCAATGGAATTTCATCTGGAAAAGTTAAATCTAGTGAGTCCCTTCAACGAAAACTTAGAATTTAATATATCTAAGTGCGTATTAAGTAGTAAACAGTAAACATGGTAGCTTGACCTTATTTCCTAACAATCCCATCGACCAAGGAATTTTTAAAGAAACCATATGTCTAACCTCCGGATTCCTTTTACTCACTACTTCCCACAATCCATGAGTACTGTTTGAAATGTCTAAATTTGGCAAATACCAGAATATAGTGCAGTATCATGTCATTCAACTTAGTAGTAATTATACAAACTTCAATTAGTGCAAAGAGCTAAGGGCTAGACAGATACATTGGTTACCCACTAGGTTGACTTTCAACAGTTAACAGCAAAATACTGATAATCACCTTAGATATAAACTTTGACAATTAGATGTCATAGATGTGCTGGAAAGTTAAAGGATTTTATAGTCAAATAGCAATTAATGGTTAAAACGTTTTTACATGTGATTAAATTTGATTCAATATACCTAAATCTGGTAATAGTTGTTTATTCATTAATAGACTAGGATACTATCCGGTTCCTCAGGTCAAAATACACAAACTGAGTGACCTACTGATTGATCGTTATGTTCCAAAAACAGCAACTGTATCAAGCACACCTTATGAACAGTTCAATTAACGTACAACGTTAAGCAGTGAAACGACGGACAGAGATAAGAGAATTAAGCAAAATCATCACAAAAATTACATTCACTTACTACAACTGTATTATTACCATCATTGGCAGCACCCGTGTTCACCTGTAAAGGATAGGTTGAATTAGAGTGAACACTGATCTTTCTATTGTCATCACCACCTGGAAACAAGCCAATTACAGAGGGTCTAACATGGGAAGTCGGTGGTAGCATAGATTGTGTTGGATAAGGTGGTTGCTGTTGTTCTTGAATATTATCGGTTTCATTTGATTCTAACTGCATTTTAGCTATTCCAATTAGGCATGGACCATTAGGAAGTGATTTCAACGTGTGCGCTGCTTCACGTACGCTAGACTTCATCAAATTCCTATCATTAACAAACAACAGTCGATCACCAATTGATATACGTCCATCCAATTGTGCTACACCACCGGGTGTTAAACTGTCAATCAATAGGATACCGTGTGTTTTTAATCGACTGGACCATGTAGATCGTCTTTTCAAAGTACTAGAGGATTTAATATTTCTGCTTGGTGATGATGTAGAACTGGATCGATAAGATCGAAATGACTGACGATCTGAATCCAAGGTAGTTGAAGTACTTTTTCGATCGAGAGTGAACGCTTTTCGGGATGTCTTGCCTTCTAAATCGGTAACTGGTAGTTCCTAGAATAAATAGTATACACAATACAAAAGTAACACTGCTGACTTCATGATAATCATTTTTAAATTCAATCACAAGTTTATCTATCCAGTAGACTGGCCATGATAGCTGACGATAAACACATTAAATATTTGAGATAATGGCAAGACTTTGGCAGAAACAACCAATCGCACACATATGACCATCAGAACTAGTTAAATAAGCAACTTTTGGAGAAAATCTCATAAATCACTTCTTTTTGAAATTAGTGCTGATGATGTTGTCTAGAATGACAATGAAAGCTTCACGATTAAACCATCCAGCCCAAAGAACACACCATCAAAATTATCGTTTCAAGCTACAAATATTCCCCATCATCTCAAAATCTTGTTTTGTCACATTTTTACTTAGATAGATTTATTACACTGCAGAAAATATGCTTTTGGCTGAATCAACACTTGAAGTACGTATTGGTAAGTTAAACAACATGGAAAAAAATTAGTGAGAATATATATTAAGTTGTTTGGCAAAAAACAATTTTTAAACCCTTGGTGATTGAAGTGAAATAAAAATCTGGTCACCAGTTGAACCTCGTAGCTCGGTTGGCAGAGCATACGGCCGGAAACCCAGTGGTCGCTGGTTCGAATCCGGCCGCGGTCCAAATTTTCATCTCACCGTCAATCATCACCCAGCAGAAATACTAGTCTGCCAAACTACGGCTATCTCAGTCAAATGATAATCAATATGATACTCCCCCTCTCTAATTTAGTTAGGTTTGGATGAGGATAAGAAGTCCTGACTAGGCAGCCAGTGTGAGTACAATCAAGCGTTAGTAACTCGTCACGAATTCACCAAGTAGTCAGGCAAAACCCTTAGTGATTGAAATGAAATAAAAAAACTGGTCACCAGTTGAACCTCGTAGCCCAGTTGGTACAGCATCTGGCTGGAAACCAGGTGTTCGCTGGTTCGAACCTGACCGCGGTCTAAATTTTCATTTCACTTTCAATCATCACCGAGAAAGCACAATACGGTGAATTGTTTGCCTACTTCATCAACTGACATATAATGCATACATCTCTCTTGTGTATATAATTTATGCTCCTTATAAAAGACTACAGTTATGGAATACTAGATAATGGCTAAACGGAGTATAACCCAACCTAGCTGGTTTACTATGCATGTAACTTCTCATTCAGAAAGATATTAACTAAGCTATTTAAATAGATAAAGAACTATCTGATGCCATGATCAATATGACCTGAGTTTGCCTTGGATGTCATTTAATACATTCGGCAAGAGTAGTATAGATTCCTACGTCGTTAGCATAGTTATGCTTTCACAAATAAGTACACAGTTATATCATGGACTAACATCAGTTAGAGACACACTGGAAACCTGGAAGCAACTGACGTCAGTTCATGATGAATACCAACCTGAAATCAATCAATAAATCCCCACAAACCTTCAGGTCAAATAAAATTATTTGTTTGTTTGTAAATAGCATAGGTATCAGGCAGTGTCCAACAATAACCATCAATATCAGCATAAGACCAGGCATTACTGCATAATGATCCAAGTTACTAGACCTTCTATCAGCACATGAAGTAATGTAATATAATAATATATGGATGGATTTGCGCCACTGATACCAACTAGACTATCCGACCACTGGTTTCTGTTGTCACCTGGATCGCAACCGGTTAGTCTGCATCTCCGTATATGGCTCAGACAGACAGTCAGAGACTTCTTCCACTGATGTCATATCTTATTCTGGGCGCTCCTAACCTTATACAGCCTGAACCTACTTCAGGTAACACTGCAAGACGAGGCATGCTACCTGAATCGATGAAGCTTCACAACTGATTTTCCTCAGCCGTGTAGAACTCTGCATATGACTTCTGCATTGCTGATGTGGTGACACTAAGAAATGTAGCTAATGTTACGAAGGCAAAGGTGGCCGAACACCTGAAGCATTATCAAGCATTAATGCAGGTCAGTAAACACCGTTTCTCTCTAAACAACACTATGCACCTTCATGCATTAGGCAATGAAATGGACCCAATGCGTAAGAGCTGATGATACTACCTGGTTTTTCAAACCATAGTAGGTTGAGTCACATTAAAATGTGTGAACAAGAGTGCAAGTCAACTTTCCACACCAATCGGTCATAGCCTTACAAGTAAACAGTATACGTTTGTTAGAAGAGGAGAGAAAAATTAACGTGGAAGCTGATTCAGAGGCGAATCAATTCATCACAGTTTACAACAAAAACAAAGAGAAAGTGGGTAGGGAAAGATGATATTGAAGAAAATGAAAGCGTATGATAGGAGATGGGATTTACACAAATTAGAATTGACAAAAGGGTTTGAAACTTCGTAGATGACAAACAGTACATAGCCCTATATCATTCTGGTTAATTTTGAGCCATATCATCAAGATTCTTCAACCAATCGATTTCAATGTTCTCAAGGACGATAGGCACACATACTATGATTTTTAAAGCAATCATAACTTGCACTTCCATAAAAAAAAGTCAGAACAATATTCTGAGATTTCATGGTCTGGTGTCACATTTTAGTCTGACCATGTTGAGTTTTCTTACAACTTGAACCCGCTTAAGCTTAGATGGCAAAACAAAACAGCGGTTTGGCTGGCGCAACATATGTTCAAGCCATCCATCCACTTAGTGAAAGGTTTCTAACCTCAAACATTGGCTTGAATTACTTGCCTAGTACTACTCCAAGCCTAACTTCAAAACTGTACCATGTGATGTAATCAGTGAAATGAAATGCATAATTTCGTGCAGTAGGCAACGAGCTACACCTATTGTATGAGGGCTAAGATACGATTTGGCTCCCCAAACCTTGGTGGATGGAGCAGGGAGCGAATCTATAACCAATAACTGAAAGCCGTCTCCTTAAACCAATGAGTCACAGCTTCATGCAAATATATTTGAGAGACATCTATAATCAAAGAAGGGTTAATACATCAAGTTATAAACAACACCTGTGTCACAGCTAATGGTAAAATAAGCGATTGGATGAATAAAAGTGAATGCAGTGACCATTTATCTTATCTCCTTAGATTTCTATATTGAGTAGTTCATTGATATAACTAGTCTCCAGAACTTGATCTCTATGTGAGATAACATACTACATCTCGACTACAATACTAGCAGTAAACAATTTAACAGAACTTGCGTCTATGATGAGAAGCCTAATACCTTTTACGAAAGGCATCGTTCTACAACTATTGTTCATTCTGCTCTAGTGGACTTAATGCAACACGGTGTTAATAAAAATGAGAACTAGGTGGAAAAAAGCAAGGATCAATGCATCCCCTGCAATATTGGCATCTGTGAAATTTTGAGGTTAGACGTAGGATATTAGGCAAGGAAGGCAAGTCACATGATGCGGTTGTGAACTTTCATCAACGGAGATGGCTTGGACATTTATTGAGCATGCTGAAGCACAACTACCTTGAAAGTTCCATGTTAGTCAAAATAGGATCTAACTAAAAGAAAGCCTAAAGTAGCCAGATCAAGATGCAGCACCGATTCATAAAGTTTCTGACTATAGATCTGAACTTTATAGAGAGATATTGACTGTCTGGCTGGGGTTTTTCAGACAAAGGAATCAATAGTTGAAAACTTTTGATGATACAGCTCGAAATAGTGCCCAATGACACAGATGCATACACTTGTTTTCCATCTTCAAAACTGTGAATAGTTTCAATAACCTTCAATCTATTTGTACTCTCTCTCTCATACAGTTTTGTTCATATCAATGGCATTTTTTGTCCTATACACACTTCTTCGTTGCATACTGCTGTGAAATGTGGAAAATTGGAATGATGCACTTTTATGTGACGTTATGTTGACCTCTCTATTTGTCATTAACAAAATGGAAGTCTAACGGATATTCTGTTGTTGTGTTTTCCTAATACGACAAAATATAAGCAAGTAGTAGCGTATAAGACTGAGAAATCTTTTATTTGTAAGAATATAATTATAGCACAGTTTATCATGGGTTATACATTACAATAAACTGATTCATTTCACCCTTTCGAAACCGAAAACAGTGTGAAAACCTACCAACCTCCAATAAAAAGATGCGCAAAAATACAAATACTACACCCTATAACCATCAAAAGTAAGCCTTAGGTTAATAACACTCACTTCATACTCAGCTATGCTAAATCCAAATCCTAGAGATGATTTATCCAATTGAATAATCAAAGGAACTGACGACCAAGATGGTCGTTTAAAACCATACCGAGGATCTATTCGCTGTGGACGACGATTATGAGGTAGAGTTTGATAACGACGTCGATCATATTGCTGCTCACTAGACAAGGACTCAGTGAATCCTCGGCTCGATTTCGACACTGGTAAACGTCCTAATGTATTCGACTTCATTTGAGTATTCGGCAGGGAATATTTACGACTGATGTCTAGTGTTGTTGTATTCAGTGAATACGGTGCACCATTGATATGATTAAAATTCATATAATCACGTCGGGGATCAAAAGTATGAAAATTTAGAGGCTGGATCAACAAAGAGAAAAAACAGCACGGGAATATGAAATAATTAAATTCACTAAAACATAGGCATAAACTCGACAACAACATCTTGACCACCCCCAGTACTCAGGCCACCTAGTCTCAGCCTCACGCGAGGCTTAGGTTGCTCATTATTGACTTGCTTCAAGATAAAATTTCCCGAAGTTGTAATGAGAAGTCATGAACGGTGGTGCAAACCAAGCTGGATGTGAGGATAAATGCTCAGCGATGACATTGGTTGAAGGTCACGCTATATCACAAATTGACAGAAGTAGGAAATGTGGACGACTGAATTGCAACCCGGTGGCTCAATAGTAACGTGCTCTCAATGAAACCCGGAGGTCTTGAGTTCGACCCCGAAGGAGTCTGGGTGCGCACTACTAAGGACGAAACAGCCATTTAGTGCCCACGGGCTTTCAACAGCTCTCCAAAAGACATCAGTCCATGATGAACGCCTACGTGAAATCAATAAATCCTCGCAAACCTCCAAAGTGAACACGTTCATGCTTGTCAACTAGGCATGAAGTCACACGTATTTTGTGAAGGGTGATAACAATGTCTGTTTGCGCTGTACTTAAACGAATGAGTTACAACTTCGCCAGTCACTATCTGGTCTATCTAGCCTCACTCAAACGTTACCTAATACATTAGGTGTTCCTGTTATACACATTTTCAATAATTGGTGGTGCAACAATAAGTTTGTTAGGTACTTTTAGTCATTCGATGGATAGCTAAATGGAAAAAAAATAAGCAAAAAAAACCTTGGAAGTGCTAGTCAAGTACATCTATTAAAGTAGGACGTGATATTTTAATCACATTTCAAACATTCAAAATTCAATAGTTTCACAATAAATACGTGACATCATGAATAAAACAACACAACAACATAGACCTTGACATAAAAAAATCGACTCTCTAGTGCCAGAAACAAGCATAAAAGTAGGTAAGCAGGCGAGGTCATATATCGAGGAGAGATGGTAGCACACACACACGCAAGCACTTACAAATACAGAAACAACTATGATCAGTAGCATGTGAACGTGTATCGCAGATTTTAAAATGCGAGGAAGCATTTGAAAGGTTGATTAGTAATATTTATCATATGAAGAAGAAAGTAAACCATCATTATTGTTGGCTTTTCACTTCACAGTAAAATGAAATTGATACTGTCCAGTTTCATCATTTAGGCTACTGGTTCACTAGCAGTGAGCCTATCCACCTTTTCTTCTTCTACTACTTTATACATGCATGCATCTTTGTTGGCAGAGGTAGTGACAGTGCTCCACTCCATAATACGACAACACATCTACGAACAGACGTATACTGATTACAGTAGAAGCAAAGTAAAGTGGTGTACATATCCAGATGATCGTATCATCGTAATCATATGATAAAATAATGGAAGAATATATTACAGACTACCAGCATGATTCACATTCTTGTCATTTCATTATCACTTGTACTACAACGTGACAAAGATTAAAATACTTGCTACTTGAAGTTGTTTTTTTCTTTGTTGGCATGTAAGTATTTTCTTTTAGAAATTAAGCGCTGAACTGACACTGAGACTGTGTTCAGATTTGTGCATAAAAGTCGCCGTGTAAAGACATTTAAGCAGGAAAAACCTTGTATACTGGAAAAGACCGATCACAAAGAGAATATTGAGGAGGAGTGTGTTGAGGGATGGCAATCCCTGCGATAACTAACTTATAATATGTTTATATTATCATTGTAAAGTTTAAGCCTTATTTTCGTGCCATGTTATGCTTTTTATTTTTACCGCAGTTTAGGATACTCAAAGCTGACTGGCCCACTTTACACTTAGAATATATTATTTTGTTTTCTCTGGCCAAGGCCATCTAAGGATAAATAAACGACTGAGTTTTCACTTATGATTATTCGGTTGGAGTGAATAAACTTTCAATCCCATCGTCTTCTTCTGGTGTCAGCTGAATATCGATTTGAGAAGTCATTGTTCTATCGTTAAACGTATCGTCTCGGAGCGTTGTATTGTAAGTGTTCTGTCGGAGGAAACACTCAGTAACTACGTTTATGCTCATGCAGTAGACAATAAACTCCACCTATTGTCTGACGGTTAATGATACTACCTGGCTGTCTACGTCTTGGTAGGTGGGGTGGGGCTCGAACACATGACCCACCGGTTGGAAGTCGTGTCTGAACCGATTAACCACAGCTCCATGAAAAGAAAACAGAACATCATACTACTTACTGTAGTTGGTGCTCCTTATTCTGCTGAAATCTATTCAGTGAAGTGATCTCATATGAATTATGTTAAACTTTGAACTACACCATAGTGTAGCATACTTTTGATGTCCATAATGTGGTCATTATATGTCAAAAGACTATGCACCACCCACTGCGGTACTGACTAAGATTCCCGCTACAAGCCATGAGTTTTACATCAGCTAATATTATGAAGGGTATGAATAACTGTAATACTCAAAACATCTATCAAACAGTAGATTTCTACGATAAGCGATCAGAAGTTTAAACATTATAAATCCATTTTGCCTGTTTACTATCCGAAATGTATGAGATGTGCCTGATTAAACTAACTCAGAAAGTTGCATTGCTCAAACTAACAAATTTGTTTAGTTGATTTAAGTAGGAGAATAAATCATGGAATAAGAGGAACAGACTATACAAATAACACTAATGATACGGTCTGCTTTAGAGGTAAAACTCAACAATCGAATACAAACAGTTGACATTACGAAAGGCCTATCTTCTATTGTGGACTATTTCTGCCCAGTCATCAACAAATAATAGTAAATCAAGAGAAAATGGACTGTATTCCATTGATTAGTGACCTGATTGATGATAAACACATCCAACAGTATGCGTAGATGTTCAAGGTTAACACCCATTGGAATGCATATTTGCACAGTCCACTTTGGACAGTCAGATGAGGGCAGAGAGTTATCAAAATGAATTCTGAGTTGAATTTCTATAGAGCTGGTGTTGACTGGTTTGGGTACTTGATTTCAAACCGATGGGTCACGGGGTTCCAACCCAGTTCGATCTACTGGGATTTGAATAGTTAGGTAGTATGATTAGGTATGACTGATTCGCATACTGCACGAACATGTGCACAAAGATGCTGGGTGGATTTCAATTCGATTTTAGAAATTGAATTTCTAAGAAAGTGTTTCTCAACATAACAATTTTGCAGTGCTGAAATCAATGTTTTCCAACTAAAATTTATGGGAACACCTAACTCTTATTTCACACTACACAATTGGCTTATACATCCCCCTCATAAAATATATACATAGTGAGCATACTTAACAAAATTGTAATGCATAAAAAGGTTGAGTAGCAGCATTGAAATATCGTGCAAATATTGCGGTTTCAGTGAGAAAAAAATATTCATTCACACCTTAGGCATTGAATTAAACCGATAAATGCACACAAAAAGGATATACACATTCATTAGACTTTAATTAAAACAGAAATAATACACTGACTTATCACTGGAGAGTAACCAGCCTCATGTTGTTCCGGTCCTGAGTGCTGACTGAATTATATCGACCATTTTGCAGTGTGGACACCAGGCTACGACGCTCACCATCACGGTGCACTTTGGTGGATGTTACTTAACTGGAGGCAATCAGTATGAAGCCCGGGACTTAGGTTTCGTGCTTGTTAGCACTCGTCAACAAGGGGTATCAGCAACTGATGTCACCTGTGAGATTCAAATCCACATCACCTAGTGTTGTAGTCATCTGTGTTAAGACTGAGCTATTTGGGTTGCGACTAACCTCCTGAACAACTGAGCCTCCAAGCTTCGTGGCCACATTGCAAAATGATCGGTAGAATTCGGTCATCTCTCAGGTTCAGACAACATGAGATTGGTCGTTCAATCAATGTATGTAATCCAGTCCTACAGGAGGTCAGTCATGGCCAGAATAGCTCAATGGTAACGCTTCTGACTGAAACACTGAGTGGCACGAGCTTGAATCTCACAGGGGACATGATACACCTTGCTGACAAGTGTCAACAACCATGAAACCTAAGTCCCAAGCTTCCTCCCCACTGCCTCCAACCAAAAAACATTAATAATGGTAATATTAACAGTAGTTATAATTATAGCGAAATACATTTAGCTTACCAGCAACAGAAATTTTTTCAGTTAAAAACTTCGAAACAAAGACTTATACATCCACTTGCATATACATATGTATATACAACTTGTAGTTTAAGTTATCTTTGAAGTGTATAGATCTCTGATACAACAGATCACCTTGTATCTTGAATGAATTAACTACTTCATTTAATTCATATACTGTCATACGGATATATATATATGCAGAGGAGTAATTAAAATATTTAACATTCTTCTACTGGGTGTGTACATGGACTAGTGATGCTAAAAACCAGTAGAGTAGATTACTGAATAAACCAATGGTAAGGTTATCAATCACAAGATAGAACTCAAATACATGCAATATGCATATGCACAGATAGAGAAAGGACTGTGTACTTTTGAATGACTAACTACAAGGTATGCAGGACACACTAATATAATTCATATATGCTTATCTGTAACTTATCTCTTTAACTTTATTTGTTGACAACATAAAGTCTGACTGATGAGGATAAACAATACATGCATACACATACCATATAATTAACTAGTTGTTATTCATTTCATGGTAGTATTCATCATTCAATTATAAAATTATTGGTATCGGGTGGTGATTGAATGCGAAATGGAAATCTGGGCTACTTCAGGATTCGAATCAATAACTACCGGATTTCTGGTCCATTGCTCTACCCAACTGAGTTATGAGAGCTAACTGTTGATCGGATTTTTTTTATTTGAAATGTAAGTGGTGGTCATTGGGTCCAAATCCTGCTACAGTCCAAAATTTTCATTTCACCTTCAATCATCACCCACTATCAATAAAAATCTGCTAAATCACGGCTATCTCGTTCAGATAGTCAAAAGCATAAAATTACCAGACGATAATTCGTTTCAATGTTGTAGTTTGTGAATCTCCATTATTGACTGGATGCGATTAAACGGTCAATATTAGTATATGGGGGCCATTATGAGGATGCCTCGATATTGTCAGTATTTCTTAGTTAAGACACGTGTTACACATACCAAATCACCATCTACGTATTACGTTAGATATCAGGCTGAATAATCGCATAAAATTAACAAAGACGCCATGAAATCTCTCATTGTTAGTTTCAGTTGTAAGACAGAATACAATCTTTGCAGCTGCTGTTATCCTGATACCATCAATCAATGTTTGCACACTGTCAAAGATATAGAACGGTTCTACAGTGACTTACCTGTGAGTGTCTCTGTAACTGTGACAGATATTAGGAAATTCCAATGTAATGTAGTGGTTGACAACCGTGGTATACACGGTGAACAGGAAAACAAATACAACATGCTAGTCAAAGGAAATTAAACGAAAACATTAAATCTTACCCCATGATCATAAGATGAAGCTTTTTCTGATCTGGCATGACTCGGTTCAAATATGGAAGCGGATTCAGGTGAAGACGGATAGGGAACTGTAACACATAAGTCTCCTTGAGATTTTCGAATCCATTCAGTAACACGTCTGTGCGCTGCTGCTGGTGATACTGGACCGGAATAAGCGGGTCGATCGGTCACATCATATGAATTGACCAGTCTCATCGACGCGGCAGTATCAACTGAACCAACTTCGCTGGCAACAACTTCCAGTGGTGGTTCATCTGTATTGTCCATCAGTTGATCGCTATCCTCATTTGTAACCATGACACCCCCATTGACATCTTCAGTCAAGTGAGTCGGCTTCTTACGAGCGAATACTAGTTCAATTCTTGATGGCAAACTGCGTAAATACCGAAGAGTACTTGTATGTGATGTACCACGAATACGGTGGCCATTAGCCTAGAGTGGAAAACAAAACATAAAAAGCCAGCATAACAAAGACTTAATTGATAGTTTGTGGGGATTTATCGGTCTGAAGGTAGTTTTCATGACGGATCGACATCAGCTGACAAACGCTAAAAGCCTGAAAGCACCGGACAGCAGTCCCACCCTAGTTCAGGACTTCCCAAGATTCACGAGGACCGTGAGATTCCACGGCAAGCGTGCTGTTATCCAACCACTGAGTAGGAATCCAATAATTTACTATTTCGTACTTCTTTCAGTTCGCGACACAGTGCGACCACTATCCAGCGTCACCGGTAACCATCCACCTCACACTCCCGACTTGGTTAACCTCACAGACCATGGCTTCTGATTAGAGCTTCGGGAAACCCACCTGAAACAGGTAACTAACAAGTACTAGATAAAAATTCTGTTGGTGATTAATAGAGATTTTCAGACTGACGTCAATTCATGATGAAAACTACTTTCACAGCAGTATCCCCTAGGAAAGTTTAATTGATGAATAAGGCTATCAAACGACTCAAATTTAGTAAGAAAATGAAAATTCCTGTTGATGGAGAACGTGCCTTTCTGTCCGTCTTTCCTGAAAATCACTCAGTCAAGAAATGCAATACTAGTGCCATAAAAAGTTACAGTGAACTTCTTAAAGCAGCATTTTACCTGGGATGAAGGACTCAGCATGATAGAAAGCTAAGTTTGACTGAACTAAAACATGACGGGATTCCATAAATTCCCTGAATATTAGTACGATGTGCGTGAGTGGCTGTGGGTCAGTGGTTTAGTGAGATGACTTTCAACAGGTGGGTCAAGAGTTCGAAACCCGCCCCACCTACCGAGGTTTGGGCAGTCAGGTAGTATCACTTGCCCTCATATACAATAGGTGTGGCTCGTTGCCCACTTTACGAATGAGTAAAAGGTTGCTAAATGTGTTTCTTTCGGCTGCATTCATGGTCTGTGTAAGGAAGAGTGAGCTGTCTATTTGAGATCCACGTCATATTACTAATAAATGACCGACAATGATCGATGATATGGCTAAAAATTGGTTTCAATGGCACAGACGTAATGATTTTGTACCATTTTCAAAATATCAAGCATTTTATGGTACTTTTTCAAGTTTTTTTCCTACTTTCATAACCTACTTGTTTATTTTACTATCTTCATACTATTTTAACTTCGTTCTGACATGCACGTAACCACTGAACCTTCTCGCAAAGTTTTGCACGGGTCCGTCTCTTTTACAGAATTTACACATTCACCAAAAGTACAGTAACACAGAGAATTTAAACAACCGCTGTTAAACTCCACACTTAGGAATATTGCTTTTGAGTGATTAAAGCTACAGAATACACAAATAGTTTCAAGGAGCCTAAAATCTAAATTTTTCATGACATAGTTGGGAAGGAAACTGGATTTACATACATTACAATCAACCTCTTCGGATCGTACGAGCAATGGACTCTAATTTTAGTTGATTTCACTCGGCAACCTTCAGCACATTCGTGCAGTAGGTGATGAATTACACATAATATGTGAGGGTTAATGATACCGTCTAGCTTCCAGACCTTAGGGAGTGGGAACAGTGTCCGAACGTGCAACCCATTGGTTGAAAGTCAACTCCCTATACCAATCAGCTATGACTCTCTTCATTACACAACAGAATAATCGACTGATATTAGGTATGTTTATCTAATATCATACATAGCAGTACAATTTTTTCTTCTTTGTGACATTTACGAAACAATTCAATCCTGATTAGATGACGTAAATATGAGCAATAAATTGGGCTCGAAACGTCATCCAGTAAACAAGACTGTGTCACTAAGTTTACTATATCAATGAAACTAACTAACATGTTATTATACTTCGTCACAAGAATGAAATTTTACGTTGAAAATAATGAAGTAAATGATTGTAAAATACAGGAAGTAAAATTTTTGATATCATTACAAAGGAAAAACAACTCAAAACCACTGAACGATGACAGAGACGTGAGGGTGGCTGGGAATTCCCAACAGCCCAAGCCATGGGAAGTTACTTCTTCTTGAGGGACTTGGGAAAGAAATTGTATTAGTGATGGAGGTGTGTAACCACAAATCCCAAAAGATATTTTCTCGAAGCTGATCACACAGACTTTTCGTAAACTAGTAAACCCACATCACCAGCACAGGAAGGCTGTAGGAAAGGCGATTATGCTGCTTTTTGAGACGACGTTTCTACTCCTATTCCTATAAGAAAGATAGCATCAGTATGAACTGCTAGTCATCCCAGAGGAACACTTTACCTCTTTCGCACCCCTAATCAGTTGACAATTCAACGTCATCCTCCGACTCCAATTGTACCGCAGCTGTTTACACCATAGTGATAACTGCTTTTCATCTCAATACTACCCAGCAGAATTTTCTTGTGTGCTAGGACCTCAAAGAACAAACAATCCCACCAAAATAGCTCGTTGGGTCATTTTGATACGAAAGACCAAATACCATGTCGAGGTAGCATCAAAGGTGAAGAAATACCATTCTGACGAAGGAAAAATGTTTGATATGACTCGGAGTGGAAATTGTAATACGATTCCACATTATATATATATATAGATTTTCTAAACCAGTATGACTGAAAATAACTGATTTCCTGGTATTTTTTGGTTGAAGTTTAGGGAATGAATGGTGTTCTTCACCACCGATAACAAACCTACCTACAATAGGATGACGCAGTGAAGGCACAAAAGTAATAGCTAATGTATAAGCAATAAATGCTACACAGACGACAAGTATTATTAAACTTCTTGCACCTAATCAATTTTTGTCATCCGATACAACTCAGAAACCATATGGAAGCTTTAAAGCTACGAAATGAGACTACATTCATTTTTTGAGGGCTAATTATAAATACCAGGCTCTCTAGAACTAAGTGTGGGAGTGGAATTTTGAACCTTAACGCGCTGACTAAAAATTGAATGTCCAGTCTACTTAATGGATAAAATTTTCGCTAGATCAGTGTTAGGAAAATCAGAAACTATTGTTTCATCATGATGGTAAACTTGATCATAGGATCATAAGAATTGGTACAGAAGCATGCTTAGTAAACACGTATAATAGGGAGATTTGAATTGTAGCAAAACTCAATCGAGTGGAAAGTGTTATCAAATACATACTATTGCGTAACAAAGGTGAACACACGATACACAGACAGACAGTATTGCGAAGGCAGTTGGTAGATTACGTACAGTACGGAAAACTAGTGGATCAACTCGGTAAACTTGTGCGTTTTCGCAAAGTAGGCAGTGAACCACACATATTTTGTGAGCACTAATGTGACTATTTGGTTGCCCGAACTTTATCAGGTGGAGTGGGGTTGGCAAAATCAATTGCCCAAATCAATGAACCACAGCTTTACTTATTAGTATAGTTTCAAATCTGTATTTGACACAAATTTTTACCTAATATAATGTAGTTGAGAGTGGAAAGAGTATAAATAAACATAAGTTTTTTTATTATTAGTCCCTTGGGTTCCTAGTGGAACATAGGGCTTCAGTAGCACGCCTCCAGTGACCTCTGTTCTCTGAGATCTTTTGAACCTGGTTCCACGACAGCCCAGAAGCTCTCATTTCCTCCTCGCACGACCTCCTCCATGTCACCCTCGGACGTCCAACTCGTCGCTTCCCATGGGGATTCCACTCGAGGGCCTGACGCGTGATGTCCTCAGTCGGCCTTCTCAGTGTATGCCCAATCCATCTCCACTTCTTCCTGCATATTTGTTGCGTGATAGGTTCTTGGTTGGTTCGTTCCCAGAGTTCCTTGTTGCTTATTTTTTCTGGCCATCTGATCTTCAGCAGCGAGCGTAAGCAGTTGTTGATGAATGTCTGTAGTTTATTGGAAATGCCTTTCGTGACGCGCCAAGTCTCTGAGCCATACAAGAGCACTGACTTGACGTTGGTGTTGAAAATCCGTATCTTGTTCCGCATGCTGAGTGCAGAAGATCTCCACACTGGTTTCAGGCTAATGAATGCCTGTCTTGCTTTTCCGATTCTGACTTTGACGTCCTCGTCCGTCCCGCCTGTAGTTGAAACAGTGCTTCCTAGATAAGTGAAGGAGGTTACTTCCTTCAAGTTTCTACCGTTGACGGTGATTGGAGTTTGTTGTTGTTGTTGATGGTGGTGGTGCGGTATCTTCATCACTTCTGTCTTCTCTATATTCACCTGAAGTCCCGTCTTAGCTGCCTCCTCTGTCAACTTGTTAGTTTTTGCCTGCAGATCTTCAAGTTTATGTGACATTAGGCATAAGTCATCGGCGAAATCCAAGTCTTCTAGGTTCTTTTCCGTCGTCCAGTGTATCCCCCTCTTCTCGCTGCCTACTGTTTGCTGCATGATCCAGTCCACCACAATTAGGAATATCATGGGGGATAGTAGGCAACCTTGTTTCACTCCTGTCTTCACTTCAAAGGCATCACTGAGCTTCCCATTGTGGATTACTTGGCATGTGGCATCTTCATATAGTTGTTGAATGAGGCGGATAAAGGTTTGCGGTACTCCGTAGTATTGAAGCAGTTTCCAAATTACTTCTCGGTCGACGCTGTCAAAGGCCTTCTCAAAGTCGATGAAGTTGAGGTATAGAGCTGATTGCCATTCTACGCTCTGTTCTATGATGATACGAAGCGTTGCAATTTGGTCAGCACATGATTTGTACTTCCTGAAGCCTGCCTGTTCCGGTCGCAGTTTTGAATCCAGTGCGTCTTTAAGCCTCTCCAGGATGATGCGGCTTAATATTTTACTTGGGGTGGATAGGAGAGTGATTCCTCGCCAGTTCTTGCAAGCACTGAGGTCTCCCTTCTTCGGCAGTTTGACAAGGTAACCCTTCTTCCAATCGTCAGGTACCTTCTCTTCCCTCCACACCTTCTGCAATAGTGGTGTGAGCATGTCCGCTGTTGTCTCTGCATCTGTTCTCAGTGCTTCTGGCGGTATTCCATCTGGTCCTGCTGCTTTCCCGCATTTCAGTAGCTTTATGGCGTTCAGGACTTCCATTTTCGTTGGGGGATTTATGTTCACTTGTAATTCAGCGGCTGCAGGTGGTATTTCTGGACGAAGTGCAGGTGGTGGTCGATTCAAGAGCTTCTTGAAGTGGTCGGCCCATCGTTTCCTCTGTTTCTCTTCTTTTGTAATTAAATTTCCTTCTTCATCTTTTATTGGTTTCATCTGTGTTGGTCTCTTCCCTGATAGCAACCTGGTTATTTGATACAATGTCGTCAGGTCTCTCTTACCTGCAGCCTGTTCTGCTTCACTTGCCAGTGTGTCGTAGAAGTGTCGTTTGTCTTTGCGTGCACTCTTCTTCACTTCTTTATCCAGTGTTTTATACATTGTGCTCAGTTCCTCTTGTCGTTGAGCATCCTTGCACTGGTTTATCTTCTGCTTCACCATCCTCCTCTCCTCTATCAGCTTCCAGGTATCCGTCGAGATCCATTCCTTGTCTTCTTTCTTCTTCCTTCCTAATACTGTTGTGCAGGTTTCTTTCCACATAGCTTTCAAAGACTTCCAGTGTTCTTCTACACAGGTTTCTTCAGGGATGTCCCTCGACGTCTCCCATTTTGTCTGGATGGCTGCTTTGAAGATCTCCTTTGTAGTTTCATCCTTCAGTTTCCGAGTGTTGTACTTGAACTGAGGTCTATCACCAGCTTCCTTGAAGGCTTTTAACTTGATTTCGAAGGTTCCTTGCACTAGATAGTGGTCTGAACCTACATCTGCTCCTCTTCTTGACCTTGTGTTAAGTAGACTGCGTCTCCATTTTCTTGAGATTGAGATAAAGTCGATTTGGTTTTTAGTGTGTCCATCTGGTGAAATCCATGTCGCTTTGTGGATATCCTTGTGCCTGAACACACTGCCTCCAATCACCAAATCGTTGAATGCACAGAATTCTGCAAACAATTCTCCATTCTCATTCATTTCACCTAGCGCCTCTCGACCCATGGTTAGTTCTCTCCCGTGTTGTCCCCTCCCAGTTTGGCATTCATGTCGCCCATTAGAATTTTGATATCGCCAACTGACGTCTTGTCCAGTGTTGACTGAAGTTGTCTGTAGAATTCCTCCTTTTTCTCTTGCTCTGCATTATTTGTAGGTGCATAACATTGTATGATTGTGACCTTTCTTCCTTTTGAGTTGAATCTTGCTGACATGATCCTGGAGGAGATTGGTTCCCACTGCATGAGAGCCTTCGATGCTCTTGAGGACATCATGATAGCCACTCCCTCAGTGTGCTCGTGGTTGGCGTCTGGGTGACCGGAGTAGATTATTGATTCTCCAGTTGACAGTTTGGAGAGTCCACTCCCATTCCATCTGCTTTCGCAAATCCCAAGCACTTCGATGTTATACCTTCTCATCTCCTTTGCAATCTGGGCTGCCTTACTGGGTTCAAACATCGTGCGGACATTCCATGTCCCCACGTTTACTTTCGCTTTCATCGAGAGAAGACACATCGGCCAATTGGCTTCCCGAAGGCTTTCACCAACTGGCGTCATTTCGCCTCTCCGATTCCAGCGGGGAATAAGTTTGTTTTCATTTTTTATATTTTGTTTTTGCTTTGAAGTTTCTTTAGCGGTTAGATTTGTTTTACGGGGTAGGGTTGCTAGCCCTATGCCCAACCTTCCCTCTTTACCCGGGCTTAGGACCGGCTAGTAACTAGTAAACTAGTTAACCAGCGAGGTTAAATAAACATAAGTAGTAATGCATTAAAGGTAAGAATCTGCTTACCTGAAGTAATTCATCACCTTTCTGTACAATGCCTAAACTACCAATAATTCCATCTGGTACAACGTATTGCACAAAATGACGTGATGGTTTATCACCATTGTTATCATTATTTATATTATTATGATTATGTTGCAATCCATTCATTGGTATATGATTCACGGGGTAGATACGGTTTTAATTTGACCATTACTGATAGGAGTTGCTTGCGGAAACCGGGGTTGTTCATCATCGAAAACTGGCTCTGATATATATGTTATGCCTTCCAAACTCATGCCTAAATTTGAAATACCCCGAGGTTTATAGATGTGCAAAACCTGGTTTTTTAAAATAAACAATAGAACAAGAAAAGTAAGTCTTTTTCTGAAGAACAACAAATAATTAACTACATTTATTTACGAAAAATGGAAGGTTGGATTACTAAGAATACATTCCATTAGGACATTGTATTGTCGGTAATAACTGGAAGCAAGAAATAACATAATTTGCTGACTGGAACAGAACCAAATTTATAATATGAAACGGCTCAATTAATTTTTTAACATCATGCAACTATCAAAAATCATTAAGATATGAGGATAGGATGTATCAATCAAAATGATAATCACACTTAGGTCTGTTTGTCATTCATATTATTATTTATTACTTTAAGATAGACTATGAGGCACTTAACTAAAGCACAAAATTGTGAAGGTGAAAATCCAGCTAAGAGAAAATATACAGGTTGGTGCACTGTACTAGGTAGTATATCGAACCTATTTTAGAACAACCAGTGATGTAACAAACCGATTGTCCAAATTCTGATAGATGGAGTGAATTACGAACCTAAGACCCATTTGATGAAACACTCTAGTACAGAAACCACAGAGAACTTAAACCTGATCTCAGTGCATACTTCAGAATGGCTTTTTATTTCAACTTTTAGTCTGACTTCAACGCGGACATTCCCTTCTGGAATATGCTTCGCTTTCTTTCAGCTTCCGAAAAACTAGGTTTTTAAACCTACCAGGATACAAAAATAGAATGACACTTTGATAATGACTAACTAGTGTCAATCATCGAATGCTGTTATAATACCAACAGCTTCGAAAGACAGAAAATTTTACTTCACCATAAGATGACTGAAATTAAAGATACTAACCACTGAAATCTAGTTATACATTCAAAACGCAAGAGTGAGACAACTAAACCATACTAAGACTAGATCTCGAAGAATGTTGTAGAAGTCCACTGCTGAAGAAGGTACAACAGAGTGAAACACTTATTATCATCAATGATCAGCGGACTAAACTCGTTTTGTGTCAAAAACATTTATCATTTTGTAAATTTCACTCCAACCAGTACAGTCATCTGCATACAAACGAATAACAGGCTTGAATACACTGGTAAATCAACTAGCAAATGCTGTATACAAACACACCACACACACAAATCAGAGAACAGATGAAATCTACACCTGAAAAAGAATGTTAGGTGAAATTCAGATACAGCAGGAACGGTGTTCTAGAACGAACTATAAATACAACTGCTCAAGATAAATTAACTAACAAGAAACAATGAAAGGTGGACATTTGAGAATCTTGTGCATATGAAGTATATAAGATCTTAATCAGTTAGTCCGACCGAAACTTATCGATTTCTTACTGTTACGGTGTGTAAGAAGATTGTCTAGATCCTTCTAATAAGTTCTAAATCCCTGAAGACTTTAACAACCAGCTACTATGCGCCTAAGGTTCCAGAAAAGACATGATAATATGTGGAGATATCGAATTGGTTTAAAAGGCAAAATCAATAGGGAGTATCCTTCTAGAAAGGCCTTGAAATAACCAAGGCCAATGTAAGTTGTATTTTATACGTTTTGATTCTGCAGTAGACTTTTCGTTATCTTACTGCCTTTTGTATTTTCTGAGGAACTGAGAAACCAAGGGTGGAATCTGAAGGTTACCGATCAAGTGTCTATACTCATTAGCATGTTATATGAATCACAGTAATTTCAGCGACATATGATTATCTCTTGGCTTCTTTAATTTCCAGTTTGTAAATTTTTATTCTACTAACCACCTGTAATATCCCTAAAAAAGAGGTTGTGCAAAAATAGCTCATAAAAAACTGAGTAAACAGTCAGTCGCTGTAATGATAGCGTTCGCTATGATGAATCAGATGTCAACTGTATTCATATAGCTCCCAATAAACCAAAACACTTGATAGCAAATATTGAATAAAATCCTTCCAGTCATAATGTGCTTAGATTCAGTGCGAAGAGATTTGATACTCATAATTCTACCAAATAATCTGAAAGTTGCTATCTAAATACTTAAGTAGGCCAGAAAAAGGTAAACAGTCAAATCGAGAGCGTAGGTAGTGAAAACTGAAGGAAGGATATAAATGTCACACATCATTATCATTCAAATTTCACTACCGACCAAATTGATTGCTAGGGAATGCAGACTGAGGCAATCGAAAGGCTTGGCTGCTACTCAAATTTAGATGGAGTACTGTCATCATCTCGTTGCTTTAATAAACAAAATATAGAGAATTTTTAAATAACGAATTAGTGGATTTCTACGGTATCCTAGATAGATAAGTCACTTATAACGCAACAGGTACATTTCCTGTCAAGAACGTATTACCAACCAACGTCACTCTTAAAATGGTAAATGTGATGAGAAAATTCTGGCAAACATCATGTCTAGCTTGTGTAATGACCTCAGAAAACATCAATTATTCATCGATATATATGGTCCCAAAACCTCACATATACTGAAATCCAGCATAAATCATAATAACCGTCATGATTTTCATATTATACAGCTATCTCACAACAAAAAGATAAGCTACTGCTAAGGCCAATCAAACCACTAATAAAATGCATCTTGCCTTACACTTTTATGGAGAAACGTAACGACTTTGAAATATTTCCACCTAAATATGATCATATATGAATTTATGATTGTAGGATTCTACACTGAAAACTGCAGCTCACTATTAGCGTTATGGGAGTTCAACGTTTTCTCTCCACCACCACCAACAACAACAACAATCAGTTTATTTTACGACATATGACGAAAAGTCTTATATGTAAAAGTGTGGTTTTAAATACTCTTCGTCTTTACCTGGGTGACCAATGAAGCTCTTCGCTTTTCCCTTTTTTGGCTCTGAATCTCAGAAATCGATTATAAACTATGATATTCTATATCTTTGGACACTCAACTAAAATAATTACCAGCAAGGTATCAGAGCTCAGAAGAGATGAGGCATTTTCCACAATATTCAGTAAAAAATAAGAAACGAAAAGAATATGCATTCTGTGGCTAAACATGAGTCACAACAGTCGAAGACTAACCTACATTCGCTCTGCGAAATAAACAAAAGACAGTCACTAGACAAACTGAAAACTAAATTTTACTGTGTCGCAACATCATTGCCGTTGGGATGATTGCTGCAGGTAGAAATGAAGAGAACTCAGATACTGCTTATCAGCCTAGTAAAAAATTGAGTCATAAAAATATTCCCAAGTTCATTGCTGATCTTGTGCAACGTGCCAGTGTATCTAGTTATACAACAAAGCTTTGAACTATATCTGTCGAAATGAAATTGAATACAAGATGATATATATTTTTGTGTTATGGATTCCTATATCCCTTATATTCCATACCTGCAGTTTTACTTCGCGCACTTTTTCCCGTGCATGAATCATATTTCGTACGACCCCTTAGCGTTCTGATTGGCTCCTGCCTCTTCAAATATACTAATTATTCCTTGCCTTTCAAGGTTACTGTAAACAGGGTCTTTTTTCACTAATAAAGGTTTTCAGTCCGAGATACTATAAACTCATTTCATTTCCGGTCTTTTGATTTCTCTTTGCGAATCACCCAGGTTGAATCATCTTAACTCTGACCATCAATCGTTAAGTATTTTCATTCGTTCTCACAACTCCACATTATAACAATATAATTCAGAATTTGAAATTTCTAAGAAAAAGGATAACCTAATAATTGTAGCTGTCACCCGAACAGACTAGTTACCTTTTACGCCATAAAAATAATCTAAATTTAAAATAATGAAAGTGAAATAATTTCACATAAAAATGGATCAATTTTAAAACAAAACCTAGACATTTTGATTGAATGAAGCTACTTACCATTATATCATAGTCTGGACCAATGATCGGTAGCCAAACTTTACGCATGAGATCAACCAACTCCTCTGTAACCTCATCGGCTAGTTAGCGAATGAAAAGGATTAAAAGACAAAACAATACTGTACTCGAGAAGTAGTACAGAAAAAAAAGTAACATTTAAACAAATCGTACTTGCACCCGTTAAGACCTGAATTTTACTTACAAATACAAGCATAGAACAGAAGGCGCTCAGCTACCTTGTACACACCCGTGCAGCAGGCAATGAGTCACGTTTATTGTGTCAGGGCTAGTAATACTACCCGGCTGCCCAAACCTCGGTAGGCAGAGCCGGGCTTGAACACGTGATCGGATGTTTGATGGTCATCTTCTTAAACCACTGAGACACAGCTCCACAAACATAAGTATAGTCAGCGAAAATCACTTTGCAGGTAATTGGAATAAAAAGTAGAATATTTCTATGCATATACTAACTCAAGTTCAATGGAGTTAGACTACCGATGAAGCGACTCCTAACTATGTAGTCGAAAAGCATCCTCACTTTGAAGTCTTACCAATCAGTGGGTAATCTAGTGTTTAAGAATTCTGAATACGTCTACTATTGTAAGCTTCAATTCCTGAACTTAAGACATTGACACTAGTGATGGCTAAAGCCCTAAAATTATTTATGTACCAATGCTTCTATTTCATGGACTACAACTACTCCTAGTTTAAGGATAGGGAGTGAAGTGGTGGAATGCATCGACCACTTCACTTGGAGAGTTGCACCAAATCGAACAGCCTGGTTGTTGATGAGAGCTCAGATCAGATACAGAAGGCCCGTTTGGTATTTGCTGACTCACCTCGTCTATGGTGTCGACTGACGAGATATCCGACTACCTATCAAAGGATGAGTATCCTGCGCTGCAGTTCGTTTTGTCCTGCTATGCGACTGCGAGATAGTCATTAAAAGTAGATATGAAGAGAGCGCAGGTTTTTGACCATAGGTGTCTAAGTAGTGTTGCTCATGTATAATCGAATCACGATGTCAGTAATTTCAAGATCAGTCGACGGAGACTATGCAACAAAGGGAAGGCGGTCGATGAGGCTGTTAACCTTCAGCAATTGACGCAGCTTGGGGATGTACTGCCCATGCTCGGTCGCCCCTTACATCGATGTGCCGCGTTAAAGTTGGATTAATTTGGAAGAAGGCTCAAGGTGGACAGACTAAGATGCGCCATCAACCTATGAAGTCGGTGACTGCTGGTCTCAGCAGTGTAGGGAGGTGTAAACTTCCTGGACGGGGTCTCCAAGACGATATGAATTAGCGGTTGGGGACTCTTGATGACATGAGTGAAGATCATTTCTTGATATCTGAAGCTTAAACACTTCCACTAACTTCTACATTCAAATTATTTCTCTTTCCATACGCCATCTGCTTTGATACCCGTCTTTTTCTATCCACTTGTTGTTGATAGGCTACTGTGAAGCATTGCAACTTGAACCGATGCACTTGTGTGTCAAGTTCTAAGATGATTTTGTCTGGTTTTTTGATCCAGGCTAGAAAACAGGTACAGGCGGCTATACTAAAACATGTCATAAGTACCTCAAATCGGTGGCTGCTAGTATAGGCCGTGTGTGGAAATGTGAACTTCCTTCCGGTTGGTGTTCGCAAGATAATGCAAACTAGTGATTAAAGACTACGTGATATGGCCCGATTTCAATGGCGCAGATGCATCCATACATTATCACACTGAATTTCAGCATTCTCTAATTCTTCTTCGTTCTCATTTGATGAAATTCCACAACTGTTTACTTTTTTCCTGATTTCCCTCTCTATCACCCTGATGCATTCTCGCTTGATCTGCTGATATGTTGCAACTTCTCATTTTCTTTATCTTTAATAGCCACGTTTTACAGCCATGAAGTATAAGAGAGAACTGCTGCTCAGTACACGACCCTTAATAGCCAACTGAATAGCATGCGTCGGTGCCATAAGCCATAAGCCCAGTATTGATGATTGCGCTTCACACATTAACTCCTCCAACGAAGTCTATTCAAACCACCAGCTGTTTATATGTTTTACTTGATTTGAACAACATATTTACGCAAATTTACATCCAAATCAACAACTCTCAGCCGCGATGTTCATGAACTAAGAAGTGGAACGTACCTCATATGTGAACTAATAATACTGCTTGACTCCTCAAGCCTCGTTAGATGCAGGCAGGTTTGAAAGCACAACCCAGGAGCTAAAAGTTAACATTCCAGGTCAGTCAGCAACACCTCATGTATATTCCCACATACAACATGCTTGACCGAGGTAGTTAAGCCATTAGGAATTATTATGCGGGGAATCGGTCGTGTGGCTCAACACTGTTCACAACGGCACACTTGTCATCATCAAAAAGCAGATTGTTATAACTAACCTTCATCCACTTCTATTCTCCCCTAATGCACATTTGTTAACCGTTGCCATTCGTTTTCCATCCGCTTCTTTGTTGAATGATATTGTGAAGCATGATAACTCAAGCAGATGCACGTGTTATGTTGTACGTTTATTGCTTTCTGATACTCAAATAACCGCGAGGATTTATGCAAGGTTGCCTTGTGTTGAGCATGTAGACTGAAACATTGAGAAAGGATGAAAACTAAGGACGGGTCACTAAAGCTTGTGGCAGGGACCAACGGATTTTACGTGTTGCGAAGCTAGTGGTTAGTGTGACCATAGTGAAGCTGTGGCTCACTGATCTATGCACACGACTTCTAGCCAGTGGCTTGAGGGTTCGAACCCCACTTCATCTACTGATGTCTGTATTGCCAGTTAGTATTAAAGCTCACAAAAGGTTTGGCTCGTTGCCTACTGCACGAACATGCACGTGGTAGCAAGTGCATTTAGATTTAGTACACGAGAATATGAATTACAGTTTAGGAACCATATGTGAAAAGCTGTGATTAAAGTCTGTCGCGTTCAGGTCAAAAATACTTCCTGAATGCTCAAACCTGGGTTCGAATCTGTGACTCATCGACTGTTAACTGTCTTAGCCAGAGAATCACAATAAAAAACAGAATGTTCATTTAGACATGTCTAAGGTGGAGAAAGAGTCAGAAATTGTCTGTCAGAGTGATTTTATTTGCTAGCTGAGTGACATCAACGTAAAATACAGTATAAAAGATGCATCAGTTTGACTCGCCATACTTTATAACAGTATGCAAAGAAAAAAGGCAGGTGGAAAACAAATGGCTTAACAGTCAACAAGTTTACTACGAGGAAGAATAAATAAATCTACGTTAATAAGAATCTTCAAGACTACCTAGACGACAAAGTATGTACATATGCGCCATTGCGACCAACTGAGAGATATCACTAAGAGTAACTAATGATTCCTGTCATCTGCAGGATCCCAACTAGGCAGCTTGCATCTCTTTATACGTCTCAAACCAGCAGCCAGACTTCATAGACTGGTACCACGTCTTGATCTGGTCGCTCTTTCTCTAGCCAGATCCCAGTTCGGTTGTCCCCGCAGGCCGAGAATGACAGTGGCTTGGTACATGCAAAACACGTCCAACCCACCCAGTCTGTGAAAGTTGACAATCTCACCCTGAACATAACCTTACACAGTGATTCCAACAATCACAGGTAATGATATAAAGGCATCTACAATCAAAAACTCGAGCCTCTTACTATCTCCTACTGTCAATCGCCAAGTAATAGGACAGAGCGGACTGCTGCGCAGCAAACTCGTCCTGTAGTATTTATTTGGATGTCTCATCGACAACATAAGTGGTGTCACTTGCCAAATATCAAACAGGTCTTTTGAGTCCGAGCTGAGATTTCGTCAGCAATGGTATATGCGTTCTTCTACTTCACTCCCTAACCTTAAACCAGGAGTATTTGCAGACTGGTTTCCAAGCATCATCTTATATTTGACAGATGCCAGTTAAATGCATGCTGAACATACTGATATTTCCGCTGAAGGTGTTCAGAAGACCCTGCATTTTGTCAGAGTCTTCACAAAGTAGGACGATATCGTTTGCGTAATCCAAGTCAGCCATATTCCCTCCACGCAGTCGACCAATCCCCATGAAGTCGGAAGTACGTCCATTAGTTAGCCTATAATGAAGTAAATCAGGAACGATGACAGCGAGCATCTCTGCTGGACACCACTAGGTTGTCGTCACCTTTACAGGGCTGTGTGAGTTGGAATAGACGGCTTTGAATAGCGTTACATGCTTGCTCAGTACTCCTCACAGCCAGACTGGCACGACACCATGGTTGACAGAGTTGAACTCCACTTTCAGGTCAAGAAATATGGGACGTGTCAGCCATTGGCAGGTAAGTATGGTTGTGTTCTGGAACCTGTTGAAGGCTGAAGACCCTCGTCTAGGTTTGAGAGCCGCCTGGTTTTCTCAAGTTTGCTATTGTCTAGTCAGGTAACAGATAACTATGGACCGTAGTATCTTAGACATGATATGAGTCAAACTGATTTTCCCTATGGTTGTTACGAGATTTCTCTCCCTTCTCAAAGACTGGGATAACCAGTGAAGATCACTCTCATGGAACTACTCCTATACACTACCTAGTACCTCAATTACTCAGTAATTTCCTACCTCCATCCATGTACATTACTGTCTACCACTGTTTAGATAGCAGACAATATCACGCCGGGTTTCCTGAGGTTGAAGATAACTCGCACATTTAGATAAATTCTTAGCTATCCTCTCCACAAATACTTACTTCTAATCAGGGACACAGGCATTACTAACGCATTTTTTGAGATCAGTAAAGTGAAAACATACATGTTAACGTACTAACGCGTGATCGAACTTCAAATAGGTGTTCCAGAAATGACAGCAACCCCCGCTCATCCTCTTCACTTACAGCAATACCATCGATCTGCATCCACCGTTGGTTTGAAGCCGGTGGACCTCATGTGAGTCTCTCCTTAAGGTGCTACAGATGGTTAACTAACACTAATGACATGTAATCATCGGTTCAAGTCCGGCCGCTACTTCAACGTAACACGTTAGCCATAAGTGCCTAGGTGTTTCTCGCTGCATAGTACACAAACTTGTGAGGGGTTGGTGATTAAAAACGATTTATTCGAAGACTAAAGCGCACATCTGAGATTGCTACAGCTTTATTAACTTTGGTCAGTTGAAAGGAACTCATAAGCTTCCTCCTCAGTACGGTAAGACGGGGTTTAGTGTACCGTGCTGGGGGGTACATTTATTGTATGCCACTGACGCGCCAAAACAGAGCAGCAATACGAGCCTCGATGTCCAATGAAACATTAAAGCTACTTGTTGTGATAATGATTTGCGGAGACCATAGACTTCTTCCATCTAATGCCTTGACAAATCCAATATCAGCTGTAACACGTACTGATTAACTTTCGCATGTATATTTGCTTTTTGTATATTTCACATACATTCTGTATCATTAGCGTGATTTACTGTTATTTATTTATGCTCCTTGTGAGTGTTTTCATTTAGAGAACCAAAGAGAAAAGTTCACGAAAATGGAACTCAAGCAAAACTATGACTGCGTTGTAGTTAGCGATTCACTCATGTCAATACACTATTAGTGCGCGGAAAGAACCAAGAAAAGAAACTTTAATTGGGAAAGCTTTAGTAAAGGCGTGGCAACCGTTGTTTGCATAAAACCCCCATCTATTCTTATTCACAAAATCTAAAGTCGATTTATGCATGTAGTAGATGACTATGCTACCATAGTATGAAGAACATTAACCATAAAAAACTTCCCACTAACATATATGATGCTTTTCCCGTATGCTAACAACTGTACTAACAGCAGACGTTTTAGAAATGTAATAAGTCCATAGACCCAAACGTATGCTCCGTTATCGGGTATTTAACTCCCTTAAAACTAAATATATCTATTTAAAAAGGTTTTGAGGATAGGCTAGTAATAAACCATAAAAAGTGTATAAACAATTACGAACTAAACCATATTATCCTTAAAAAATAATCCACAGAACCAGTGATAAACTAGTGGAAAAGGACTGATTACAACAACGAAAATACAATCAATGCAGTTATACAAAGTTACCTACCATAAAAATCTGAAGATCGATCACGTAGTGTATTACGAGTGCGAGAGTTGGTGAAGCTTATGATATTGCTTATATAGCGCCTAAGTTTCCGCTTGATATGCATTTCTGATTATTGACAAAACAGTTTTTTGCGCAAGTATACAATGTTTACGCACTCATCATGAAAAACAACAAAGGATAATAAATCACATTAACTGATCAAAACTAGCGGCAGAAGCGTAGAATCCCAACGCTGCGCCAATCTTTATGTAACTAATTTGGTTTACAAAAACAAAGACCTTGCAGAATGTAATACATCTGTTACTTCATACCACTGATGATATTAGAAAATAGCCTATCAATAGCGTAAATAGTAGGCTTATGTAAAATTGTATTCACTTGTGAAAGATTTCGCTTTTTCTATCTTTCAAGTGAACAAAATTCATTTTAGCTATAGAAATTATGAATAATACTCTGTTCACATTGATTAAGACTTCCTCTTGGAATTATTGACTGAAGAGTGATAACACTGGCTTCGAGACTAGGCATGTGGACGTTTCACTTCAAGGCAGTTTTTGTTGGGTAATTATTTCTGCAGTTGGGATCATAATTGCTCACTCATGAACTAGATTACATTTAGGGTCACTCCATTTACAAAATGCTAACGGGCATACGTCGGCCAAATAACGATTTATTTTTCATGACGGCGCTACCGGAAAAAAGGCCGTAACGTCCAGGATACAAAATGGTATGTGCTTTGGTTGATGGCTTGCAACTTTTATGGCCACTCTCAGTGTCATTTTCAGTTATTCTCCACTCATCATGTCATCCACTGAAAGAGGCATCTTTCCACTAACATTCACAATTTTTGTGTCTTCCTCATTCTGATCAGTAACAGTACACTCAGAGTCCTTATTTCAGCCATTAGTAGATGGGTAAGTTTAAAATTCATACCCAAAAATAAACTCTTTTCACTTCTGATCAATAAAAGAACGGCTTATAAGGGCGCTTTTCCTCTTATAACTTGTTTTGTCGCTCAATTTTGTTATCATCACTCATACGTGGGTGAAGTACAGATTACGTTGGTACTAGCCAACACTTTTGAGCAAGACCGGTAAAGTGATAAAGAACAGTATAATAAACGGGTTCTTACACTTGGTAGATTGCCTCGCAAGAAATCAACTCAAACCTGACAATTCTCAACCTTCCACAAAATGTTGTGCAATAAGTCTCCAGCGTGCTTGATGGTATTGCCCTAAACCCTCTTGACAGACTCAAGTAGGCTCCCATCGAACGTGATGCCCGGGCTGACAAGCAAAATGTGCTGAAATGCTTTCGCCGTGTTCACCTTGGCGGTCGCTAGTCCACGCCAGATGCGGCAGCCTGTTTTCGTTTGCTAGGCTGACACTGGCCTTCGTAATCAACCTTAGCTCTTTCGCACTTGCTTCAAGCCATCCTTGCACATTTCCATAAGTCTCCATGGGAGGAATTAGCTGGGTTTGTGGAAGCAGCTGGAGAAATAAAACAGCTGCAACCCGAGTGGCCGGCAACCATTGGTACCACCACCGGCACCACCTCTAATGAAGACGTAGGCCCATCAAGCAGCTCTCCAAACTTTAACCCAGCTGCTCACATTGCTAAACTGCATGAAGAGGTTTCTGGAATCCACAAAGGGGTGAAGGAACATCGATTGTCATTCGGCCATGTTTCTCGCCTATGCTCATGATTCACCACGGCAAATCTTCGTACTAGCTCACAGCCAAGGGGCTGGTAACCTGGAATTGATCGCCATCGCAGACACCAGGGTACCAGCACTGAAAAGTCCACCAACACGTTTACTTTTAGTTCCGAGCAACCGAAAAGGGTATCCACAAGCACATGATGGTAACTAATTATGCTGGTGAACCATTAGCCTGTCACCTCCCCTATGTAACTGGCCATCGCTCAGGAACACGCTTCCTGATAGACATCGGAACAGAAGTTAGTGTAATCCCATCCATTACTGAGGAGCGGTTGCAGCCAACTTCTTCGCTCCGTGCTTACAACGGTTCGCCTATCACGACATAAAGCCATAGGTTACTTGGCCCTTACCTTGAACTGCGCATTCATTTCAGTGGGTTTTCACCACCACCGACGTGACCACCGGTATAGTCAGTATGGTTTTATTGCGGCACCATCGGTTCCCAGGGTATACATGTAAACACAATCTTATCTATTCAGCCACAACACTCTGTTTCCGGTGTTTCTGACCCTGACACTTCCCAATTTTGTCTCAATCTCCCAGCCACTTCTTAGCATTTTCAGGTTAACATGTGGCTTACTTTGTGTATCGCCTGATGTTTCGCACCATGCATGAGACTAGCCTGACGGTTTCCGCTAAATAGAAGCGTTTATCTCAGGATAAACCGCAAGTCCTCTAGGCTGAACCTGAACGTATTGTGGAAGAAGAGTGTCACTGGACCATCGATTAGCCCATGGTCTTGTCATTTGCATTTGTCCCGAAGAAAAATGGCATGGACTGTTGGTCTTGTGTCCGTCCGCTAACCTTCCATGGTCAAGTTACCAACGAGTATAGCACTCGCAAACTACCTGAAAAAGCTGAGGAGATTTTACATTTTTCGGTTCCGATGCCAACTGAGCGCGGCGTAACTTCCTGAGGGTGGTGAGCCGTTACCAATATTTCGCCTGGCCAACTAGTTCACCAGTTACTAGCCTGTCCCAAGCCCGGAAAAAGGGGAATGGTTGGGCATAAAACCACCAACCCTACCCGGAAAACCAATCCAGCCGCTAAAGGAACTTCAAAGCACAGAGAAATTATAAAAAATAAAAATAGACTCTTTCCTCGCTGGAATCGGGGAGACGAAATGACACCGGTTGATGAAAGCCTTCGGAAAGCCTACCGGCCGATGTATCTTCTCTCGATGAAACCGAAAGCAGACACAGAAACACGGAATCTCTGCACCTAGCAAGGCTGCCCAGGTAGCAAAAGAGATGAGAAGGTATGGCGTAGAAGTGCTAGGAATCTGTGAGGGATCTGCAGATAGAATGCGAGTGGACTCTACAATTTGTCAACTGGACAATCAATAATCTACTCCGATAGCGTCACCCACACGACAACCACGAGCACACTGAGTTGTCGACTGGCTATCATGACGTCCCCCTCCCGAAAGCATCGAAGGCTCTCTCTCATGCAGTCGAAACCAATCTCCACCTCCACCATCTGCATCAGGATCAGGAGCACGAGAGCATGATGGATTCAACTCAAAAGGAAGGAGAGTCACAATCATTCAATGCTACGCTATGCACCCACAAATAATGCAGATGAGGAGAAGAAGGAGGAATTCCACAGACAACTGCATTCAGTAATCGACAAGACCCCACTCCACTTGGTGACATCAAACTTCTTATGAGTGTGGTGACATGAATGCCAAACTGCGGGGAGCAGACAACACGGGAAGAGAACATCATGCGTCGAGAAGCACTCGATGATGAATGGGATGAATGAGAATGGAGAACTGTTTGCAGACTTCTGTGCATTCAACGAGTTGGTGACTGGACGCAGTGTGTGCAAACAAGGATAATCACAAATTGAATACCTCCAAAGGAGTTGGTGATAGACCACAGTTCAAGTTCAACACCGAACACAAACTGAACTAAAGGACTAAACTACAAAGGAAATCTTCACGTCAGCCAGTCATCGGGACAAAATGGGAGACATTGTGCAACATCCCTGAAGGAACCTGTGTGGATGAACACTGGGACTGTTTGAAAGCTGTGTGGGAGGGAACCTGCATAACCGTATTAGGAAGGAAGAAGAAGAAGCAAGACAAGGAATGTATCTTGACGGACACATGGAAGCTGATGGGGAAGGGAGATGAAGATGATGAAGCAGAAGATGAACCAGTGCAAGGATGAACAACGAAAGAGGAACTGGCCACAATCTATAAAACACTACACTGGACAAAGAAGGGAAGAGGAGTGCATGGGGAGACAAAAGACACTTCTATGACTCATTGGCAAGTGAAGCAGAGAGGGCTGCAGATAGGAGAGACACAGACCTGACGAGACTGTATCAGATAACCGGGTTACTATCTGGGAAAAGGTCAACTCAGACTGAACGGCTGAAAGATAGTGAAAGAAACTTAGTCACCAAGGCGGAGGAACAACGGAAACGATGGGCCGACCGATTCAAAAAACTCTTGAATCGACCACCATTATAGCCACCACCCGCAACTCGTCCAGAAACCACAGAACTACAGATGAAAACAAGCCTTCCGAATAAAGCAGAAGTCCTGAATGCCATAAAGCAGCTGAAATCCGGAAGGCTGCGGGACTAGATGGAATTCCTTCAGAAGCGCTGACTGCAGACGCAGAGACATTAGGGGGATATGCTCACACTACTACAGCCTAGGGTTTGAAAGGAAGGAAAAGTACTTGCCGACTGATTGTAAGAGGGTCTACCTTGACAAACTAACAAAGAAGGGCAAACCAAGCCTAGAAAGAACTAGTGCACAATCGTGCTGCCGGCCACCACGAGCAAAATATTCGGCTGTATCATCCTAGAGACACTAAGCAAAGTTCCCGATTACAAGTTACAACCGGAACAGGCTGGTTGGCTGGCCGGGTTCAGGAGGAATAAATCATGTGCGAACCAAATTGCAACACTACGCATCGTCATACAACAGAGTGTAGAATGGTAGTCAAATCTACACCTCAACTTCATTGACTTTGAAAAGACGTTCGACAGCGTCGATGAGAGGTCATTCGGCAGTTGCTTCAGCACTACGGTTTTAGTGTCACAAACTTTTATCAACCTCATTCAACAGATATGTGCCATGTGATGCTACACGCCAAGTGACTCACAGTGGAAAGCTCGGTAACGCCTTTGAAGCGAAGACAGGAGTAAGACAAGGTTGCCGCCTACCATCTCCGATGGTCTTCCTGATTGTGGTAGACTGGATCATTCAGCAAACTGTGAGAGCGAGAAGAGAGGCATACGCCAGATCGATGAAAAGATCTTGGAAGATTCGGATCCCGCCGATGATTTGTGTCAAATATCGCAGAAACTTGAAGATGTACAGGCAAAAACCAACAAGTTGACAGAAGAGGCGAGGCAGCGAAGGAAGACGGGACTTCCTTGAGGTGAACGTAGAGAAGACGGAGGTGATGAAGATACCCGACCAACAACAACATCAACAGAAAGTACCAATCACCATCAGTTGGGAAATCTGAAGGAAGCAGTCTATTTGACCTACACCTACCTAGACAACATCGTTTCAACTACAGGCGTCGGCGAAACAGATGAGGATGTCAAAACCAGGATCGGAAAGACAGCAAGACAGGCTGAAATCAGCGTGGAGATCTACTGCACTGCACTTCTCTCAGCACAAAGAACAAGATCCAGATTCTCAAGACTAATGTGAGTCTAGTCAGTGCTCCTATGTGTTGTCTGAGAGGCTTGGCGCGTTGCGAAAAGCGTGTCCAACAAACTACAGACATTCGTCAACAGCTACCGTCTACGCCACTCGACGCTGATAGTCAGATGGTCAGAAAGAATCAACAACAAGGAACTCTGGCTAGTAACGGACACAGCAAGAACCCATCGCGCAACAAATAAGCAGAGGAAGAAAGCGGAGATGGATTGAGACAACACTGAGAAAACCATTTGGAGACATCACGCGTCAGGCCGTCGAATGGAACCATAGTGGGAAACGACGAGCTGGGCGTCCGAGGAAAGAGTGACATAGAGGAGATCATGTGAGGAAGAAATGAAAGCTTCTGGACAGTGATGGAGACAGGTTGAAAAGACTGCAGAGAAGAGAGTGGAATGAAGACGTGCTATTGAAGCCCTATTTTCTACTAGGAACCCAATGAACAAATAATAATGATTTGGCCAATGCAAACTGGAACCGCAAAGATTCACCAAACATACCAGTATATACCTTGCTTCTACAAACACTCAGTTTTCGAACATAGTAAGCCAAAAACCTGCAAACCAAACAATTATCACTCTCGGAGCTAAGAAAGGGAACTTCAGTGTCTCAGAATGAGTTTAAACAAATGAGGTGGTGAGAAAATTACAATTTTCCAAAATTCCGCGACTGACTTTTGATGCTCAAAAATATATCTCGCAATTCGAATGAAATAATGGTGAATTTTAAGTTTTCTGACTGTCAGATTGTTATTACAGACAGGTCCCAAGTTTGCAATTAACTCCTACTTTTTTGAGAGTACTGTTCTTTTGTTAGTACAAACAGTTCCAAAATGAAATGTACACAGTACAATTCTCAAAATATTTGTCTACTAATTGCGAAGTGTAGCAAATAAGGAAAATGAGGATAAGTATGAATATTATTGACCAAATAATCACATAGGTTTCTTTCTTTAGTAGCGGAAACCAGGTGTCTGGCTATAAAGTGAAGAGGCTTATAGTATCAGTATCTCCAAGAACGATAAGATAAAGAGAAGCATATTTTGTTCTCTTATCCAAGAGGATACGACATTTATTTGTGTAGTTATTCATCGGATCTTTCAGTATCTATGTGCCTTCCTTAGTGGAGTTATTTTTGCTTTTTTATCACTTGTGATTCTTCCTTCTCATTGCTAAAATTAACTGATAAAAGGCTCACTTGATTTTATCTGCGTAATGTCTCTGTTCACATCTACGATCCGTTTTTATACTCAAAAGTTATTCTGTAAGTTCAACGCTATCAGCTAGCTTACATTTCAAACTAGTTCACTTTTACAGCACAGCCTATGCAGGCAGGAAATCGGAAATCTAATTAACTCTTTTAAACTACACTTACTTATTTCGACTTTTTCTTGTAGTGACACACTGGTGTTTTCAATGTTTTTAATACCATTTTGATAAGCATTTTGCTTGACATTACCAATATCAGTAGTGCCAGCAGAATTTTCAGATATCAGTTTTGGCATTGTTTCTAGTTCTTGTACTTCATTACTGAAATCGATTGGTGAGAGGCTATTAATTTCGGACGTAATGACATTATTGTTATCACTTTCACTTCTGCAGACAATTCTGTCATATGTTTCATCCTCTTGATCTGTAGTCAGAACTCTATCCTGATTAGTATCACTTTTGTTCGTTATCCCGTTTATCATTACAGCCGGTTTTGTTGCCAGCGTTTGTATTTTATGATGAAATGACGCTAGGATAACATTTGATTTCACCTCATAAGGGATGTATGTTGTGCAAAATTTGTCAGCGATTGATTTGTCGGAAGAATGTGCTGAGTCCAAGAAGGTAGAGTTATTGTATGTACAAATGGAAGATGATGATAATGACGACGATGTTGGTGTTGATAGTAATTTATGTAACTGTACATCTTGCATATTTTCCTCTCCTTCTGACAAGATCATCAGAGATGACTTCTGTATACATTCATTATCATTTAAGCATGTACAAGGAGAGTCAATTAAATCGTCAGTTAGTTCCATGTATAATGTATCTGATTGATTGAAGCTAGTTACAATACTGATGGGACGTCGTTCTCGATATCGCTTACTTGATGTTGATTGATCTGATGAATCACTTGTTTCAATGTTTAGCATACAATGCTTACATAGATTTTCTTTTACTGATTGTGGATAATCCGGATTGGTGTCAGATTCATAACTTTGTTGTGTATTCAATTGTAGATTCTGTTGACAGCAAATATTCACCGCAGAAGAACCTTCCAGAAAAGAAATCAAAATATATAATGCAACACTTCAGGATTTTACATATATATATATATATATATATATATATATATATATATATACTACTTGAATAATCGATCAAAGCCTTATAATAACCACTAAGCGGGCATTATCTTATGCCTAGTTATACATAAAGCGCGACTAACCTACCATATACATATTAGAACAACAGGCCGAATTTCATGTTTATTATGGAATCCCACTAGTTTTTAAGCAGTTTTCTGCTAACTGCAAGTTCATCATAGGAAAAATGTCCAACTTTGAAATGACCAGTTTAAGATGAATCACTATTCCAGACAACAGATTGGACCAATATATCCCAGTAACTGTGAAAATGATGTAAGGTGGAGAAATGAGTAATAATTATGAGAATTCAAGATGATACGTCCTGCTCTTTGACACATGAGACAGATAGATGCTAAAAGCAGTTTCAGACCTGTTTTGAAACTTCTTATCTACAGTTATTCCCATATAGTACTTAACAACATCGACTGTTCAGTGTTGTGATGAAATACTCTTTGATTTAGGTTCTTCATGCAGATGTAAATATGTAAATATGTACTGAAACGTTACAAAACAAACCTTAAAGCTCGAACAGCACCAAACAATTATCAGTTCGCTTTTATTCCGTCAGTAACAGAACCTTGTGCTAACTTTCCACATCTTGCAGCATTCTCAGAGGTATGCAAGGAGTATCGGCTCACGGCATCACCCAAGACAATCATCAAACCTAGAGTGACTAGTTTAACTTTACACATATACTCTCACTCAAAAACTGACACCACTTAGGTGAAAAGTGAGGATCAAAGAGCATTGGATAGTTTCTTAAGCCAGGAACTGTGAATAGAAGAATAAACGATTTTATTGAAAATAAACGAATACCTGCTTTTTTTAATTCTTCACACAGAAGACCATGAAGGTAACGTCTCAACTTCAGGGTAATGTCTCGGTTCGCTTTCTTCAAAATTGAAACAGCTTGTACATTGTCTAGACCAATTAAAGACGTTTCATTGACCTAACAAAAGGATGTTTGAAAATACATATCCTAGATTTTAAAATTAAAAGTTATACTACTTACTCATAGTAAGTAATGTGAAATATGTTCAAAATGAGTCATACAAAGTTCTGGGTGATGCATAATACGAAATTTCCTATTTCAATGTTGGCTAGTTGGTGGCGGCGAGTAAAAAATGAAGATTAACCGGATAATTTTGCAGCCAATGCTTTTTATCACAATAAGAGGAGACACTTTCGCCCCAATCGAGTCAGTATAAATGACTGAAGGCGATGTGAAAATTTGGGCCACAATAAGATTCGAACTAGCAACCTCTGGATTTCCAACGCAAGCTACGAGACCACGTGTCACCACTGGGCCTGCCAACTCACGGCTATCTCAGGAAGTGAAAGTGATAATCATTAAAATGCTTCCATCTTTTCATTTCAGGATGGTTTGGATTGGGATAACATTAGCTGCCCAGTTAGTTTGAATACGGTGAACGGATAGTGACGCTCACGAATTCATATGGAAGTCATGCAAAACCCTTGGTGATTGAAACAAAATTTGGGTCTAGTCAGCAGAAGGGGTTTGCAGCTCAGTTAGTGCCGCAACGGGTCGGAAACCTGGAGGTCGCCGGTTTAAATCCTGTCGTGGCCAGATTTTCATTTCACCTTCAATCACTGCTCAGTATCTGTACGTCTGCCAAATCATGGCTGTTTCAAATAGTTAAACTGATAACAATAGAGACAATTACCTTCTAATTTTCCTCCTTTCTAAAGAAATTGTCGACATTAATTTCGGTCCTTAATAACTCAGTTTAAATTATTTTCGTGATCCATTAACTTGTGGTCGGTCGATTGTTCAAAGAGTTATTTGATTGAGTAGAAGGTAGAAATTAGTAGTAATGATGCATACTGAACTACTGATAATAGGAAACATTACTAATCATCAATGTTTAATTTGAATTCAGTCTTTAAAAAATCAGTTGTAGATTCAGTCCACTTTACTCATGCTTTAGACAGTGATGGAGGAGAATTTGTTATATTGGATATCAGGATGATAAGGAGACAGGATGGCGCCACAAAATCTGTATTTAGAATTTAGGTCACCGAACCTTGTTTCAGTGAAGTGTTCAAATAATAGGGCGTAATGTCTAACTAATAATACAGAAAATCTACAGAAGGAAATAGTACGTACATGCAAAAGAAACCTAACTGAGTAAAAGTTATTTTATTAAATTAACTTCAAAATGCAAAAAGCCTGCTGATGACTGTGACACAGAGACAGATTATATCCAAGTGATATCGAAGTGAGGAGAAATGAATCGCAGATCTCCGTAGCCTTACCATCCAACGAAGGTATTTCAAAAAGCTTGCCTAGGGATCTCAGCATTGCTGAGACTAGAGTGGCATTTTAACCTACGCACCCACTAAGAAACAAGCTTTGTTCCTTGAAAGATACTTTAAAGTGTATCAGATAAAATAATTTAGTTATCACATTCCGCAAACGATTTTGAGATCAATTACTTAGGTCAAAGCAGTCAAAAGAGCACAAAACTTGATAAGATCTAGAATCGTAGACTCTCTTAAGATGACAAATCTCTAGTAGCTTTGTCAAGTATACTAATACATACAGTAGTGCATCATCACATAGCTGGGTGGGACACAGTGACATTCCTAAAAATTTACCTGTTAGAATAAAGTCAAAGACTAGGAAGTGAGTCAGCTGAGTGAAATCGTTAATGGCTGAAGTAATTTTGAGACCAGATGAATAGCTGGATCGCATAACTCTGTGGATAACATATAGTTATCAGGTCTGGATGATACTGTAACTGAGATCAGAGTTTCAGCTTCAACTATCTCCTCCCTATTATATAGCCAGGAACACTTCACCTCCACTCAAATTAGCAGCAAATTAGGCAACAACCCATTGACTCATGTCAACACAGAATAACGTCAAGAACTAAAACACCTACCGAAATAACTGTACCATTAAATCACTATAAAACGTAGCCGTTGCATTTCATTCCTTATGCACTTCTAGATTAATAGTATTGTTGAAGGTCACACATAGTATCCAGACACTAAGCCTACTTAACTAGTACGTTAACTAATCACACTTATTGGTGATAACTGGAGGATAAAGTTTAACGGTAATATATCTCACATATAGTAGAAGGGTTTTTATATGATACCGTCGTCGATTGGACCGAATTGATCGGCCTCTATTAGCATATGGGCTCTTGTGCGGATGCCTCTAGTCCAAACCCGATGGGAACAACATCACTCACTTGGAAGCAGGTACATCCAGCTGACGAGTCCCAAATAGGACGAAATGCACATCCTGGATTCCACTGCTAGCCACTATCCATCACTAACATATCTCACATATGTTGTAAGGAAGCACCTTGTGCCAATGAAAAATTAAAAATACTTGGAACTAATCCTGTCTCTTAATATCCGCTAATTTCAAAGATATTAAGCCAACAAATGACTGATATGGGAAACTATCTCCATCCCACCACCCTATTGTTAAATTCACCTGATCTAACAATGAAGTATTCTTTCAGTACTTATTTCTCACTAAACCAGTAGCTGAAATGAACTGACAAGAATCAAGGGATCTAGATGACTTGATTTACGGAATGCTTTATCGCAGTGAGTTCGTGAATAAGACAGTTCATAAGCCTTCAGAGATTTGAAATAGACTAATCGAGAATCATTTTACAGTTTGAACGTTGTGGTTGACGGTGGTCCCTATCAATAATATCACTGGAGACTAGTCTGCCCTAGTACAATATTTCCCTGTTGGTACCTATAACTATGATCTGAGAAGTGTTAAAGATACAGTTTTCATTCCCAAGCTTCAAAAGGCTAATTGGATAGGTGGATAGTTGATTATATAGGCTTCTGGTGACATCTTTAAAATCCCCTTATGGGGAACAATACAACGCAGTGAAGACTTTAGTTTTTATCATATTCCATGGCTGAATCTTTCCTGTTATGACCTTCTGGGAGTCAAATATCGGCATGTATTATTATATCAATTGTTAGCATTATCAAGAACATTTAAATGATCATCAAAATCTTTCAAATTAACTGAAAAATCGCTCACTAATTTAAGGAGAATTCAGAAAACATAACTAAAGTATAATATAACTAATTGTTTCCTTACTTGTATTATTTGATCATTCACTTGAATTGATTTACATTGGTCTGATATACTATTCGGAATGATATTCTGCACGAAAAGGCCTTTGTTGTACTGATTTTCTAAAATTTGTGAAAGTCGGGTTAAAAGTTTCATTATAACTTTTGTCTACTTTTAAACTTGTTAGTAGTATAACTATATTCCCTTTTTTCCCTATGCAAATGATTTGTGATTGACGGCAAATTGTAAACATCTCTTTCCTGACATGATTTTAAAGCAAATGAAAAAGTGGAGACAGAAAGATATAATTAATTTTTTTTGGTAGAATTGTTCCAGCTGCATACTTTATGTATTTGACTACTTAAACACCTGAATGACTACTGGAATCAAATCGGGTGATTACGAACTGCTCAATGCATTGTGCGAATGACAATTGAATGAGATATAATATCACGACGGTCTCATTCTGTAACCCTATTTATACCATTCTACGAACAGTGTCGTGACACTAAGTATCAGATTAGTGCAAAATATATTACTACCTGTCATTATTATTTGTAGACCGCTAGCGCCAATCAACAATGCTGTCTAACCAGAACAAAAAATTAACATACTCGTAGTAGGTTGGATACGTGCAAAACACAATGGAGAACTTTCACTATTGAGTGTCACCAAACTGCGTCATTATCACAATACTATACCGTAATACCATTAGCCCACTTTTTTAGATAACTGAAATTTAGTGGCTTCAACAAACCGACTCTTTTATCTGGATCAATCTAGGTACACGTCAAATGAGTTTAACTTCAGGTGAGCAAAAGTCTGCCAGTGTCTCGATCATATTTATCTGGCTGGTGTGCATTTATGATCAGCTTCAGTGGCTCAAAACTACTCATATCAGTCAGCAATATATATATATATATATATATATATATATATCCCCTACTCATACTGAAATATTTCAATAACAGTTTTCAAGTCTCCATCAACCTTCTCTCGATTACACTCCACTTGTCATGAGACTTTCCTCTTACTGTTTTGCCTTTTCTGTATTATTTAAGTGTGCATGCTCTAGTTAAGACATCTAGTATGTAACTAAGTATGTAGAATATTTAGCTGAGGACCCCTACTCAAATAATGAATTCGGTAAATTCTGTTTTCTTGATAGGAGACCACTGACTCAATGGTCAATACTTATGCTTTGTTTAGAAAATGTTTGAAGTGATGCCATCTGGTGAAGTAGGCCTTTTTTGACACCGTAAATTAATAGCGACTAATAGTAATATCAGGAACACGTGTTTATTCCTATTTAACACTCGTTAGCTGTATACACTAGGATCCATTTTATTGTTCCTACTGAGTTTTGAATTCATTCCCACTAAACTATTGAGCTATGGAACCTAGTGCTTGTGCGATGTAGTTTCTGACAGTACATTATTATTACAGTTATTTTGAGAACAATAACACGTACAGATATGTCCAGTCACTGATTCTCATATGGAATGAAGTGCATCTTCGAGTTTCTACTGCTAACTATTGTTCATTAACGGTATGGAAAGTGAGATTACTGACAACATCGAGATACTGACACAAGATCGGTCAGTGTGGTGTTAATTCGTAGAACTTTATTGGTTACAAAGCAACCTCGATCTCAGATTGACATCATTTAAAGAAACATTGAAATCCAGGAGCATTAAAGAGCTGTTTTGTTCCATTATGGAGCTATTTAGAGGTGTCCACCCATAATCCGTTGAGAAATCGAGCTCAGTTTTGGGCTGAGCTTCTCTAAGTTCTAATGAAAACTCATTACCTTTGAGGTCAAAAAAGTTGAGACCAATACAACTGTCCACCTATAGCGTTAGGTGTGGGTTGTGTTATATCATAAACCAAGGGAAGCAGAAATTAGAGGATTATTGAAGTCGGAATCAATGACCAAATGGTAACGAGCCCACCATGAGGCCTGATGGTCGCAGACACAATCCGTCATACGATCATTGGTGTGTAATACTGTGAAGTCGTAAATGAGGGTGAATCAGCTATCAAATGATTTAAGGCTTTCAGTGGCTGTGCATTTGATGTCGATCCGTGGTTTTAACACACTATTAGTTCCATACATTGCGAACATTGATGTCACTGAGCTAAAAAGTGTGTTGGCTGAACGTGATAGCGGGTTAATCAATTAACGATAACTGTTTACAACTCAAGGTATTAAAATACTTCTAATGTGGATAAAATTCACTTGTTTCATTTGTTTTCTTTGTACCCTTGAGCTGTTGACGGTAACTGATATTATTACCTTTTCCCTTACACATATGTACCAGATGAGCAATTTATGTGCTGACAAACAAATAGCCGAAAGTCAATACATTCCTTTTGAACAAGATTAATATTCTTAAGGAATAGAACAAGGTATTGAATAATATCAAGAAAGAGAACTAAGTGAGGTAAATGAGACAAACTTTGACCGTTAAGTTCCACGTTATTGTACATTCATTCAGCTTGTATGGTTAGATACGAGTCTATAAGAATTAAAGGCTTCTCTTAGATGTTGGATATTTACTTATTTGTAAGATGAAGGGAAACTGAGTTCATTGAATAACTTTTAACGAATGTGTTGGTTGGATAGAGGCTATCGGCAAGAAGCTGTGGACTTCAACTTCGTGTCCGTTGGCATCCGTTAGTCAGGTGCGTCTGAGAGAGAACTGGCGTCCCTTCCAAGATTTGAACCTCTGTCACTCTGTGTTACAATCAGTGACATTACTACTGAGATACTCCGGCCACAGTTGACCTCCAGTAAAGCTAGATTAATTACGTTGATTTGTTATTCTCTATGAAATATTTTACCGATGGACGGTGATGTCTGTATGCCCCTACTTTTACCAGAATGTCTAAATTTTGTTGTTTCTCCAGCCGTTTAGGTATATGTTCTACTAGACTTGACTTCCTGGTTGAACTACTCCTCCCAATGTTTGTATCTCAGTACATAGGTAAGCTGGTATGGACAACTTGATGTGATTTAAGCATCTATGTAGTAATGAGGTTTACGTTGGAGCATGGTTTCATTTTCCTCGGACAAAATAAGTCTGTCTGCATAGTCAATTCTTTTAGCAACTGAATTAAGCCTCTGACTTAAATTCATACTGTTTGATTCTTCATTATACGGGAGCTTGATGCACAAGTACCGTAGCAGGATGCAATACTGTGTGTGTTGAATTGTTTTCGCACCGATTGATGAAATTCAAGAGATATACGTAAATCAGTATTGTCTCTGTTAAGAGTTTGGTTTGATCTTCCATTATGTTGTTTATATAGACATCTTAGATCCTGATTCGTGTATTCGCTACGGCAAGCTTGACAGAAAACTTCAGAAACCTATCGAGTCCCTTCACTGTCACAGGGTCATTGCTCAGCTTTAGACGACGAAACATTCCCAGTAAGTCAGAGATTGTTATATGTTTATGATATATATAAATACGATTGTGCAGCTCTAGAAAATAGCATCGTCAAAAAGAAATTCTCTTCGCTGAATTATTTATTTTTTCTCCATGACTTTTGATCTTCTTAAATAAGGACTTTACTAAACCTGTTTGTATTGTGAAATGGTGGAGAATATTTGTAGTTCAGGTGGATGATCTTGGTTGTATTGTCTTCTCTCAGCTGGATTGTCTAATCGTGGATCTTTCATCGTATTTCAAGACGACATCATCAGCACTAACTTCAGTATGAGGTTTGTATTGTATTGGACAAAAGCTGGGAAAGTTCAAGTTCGGTCATGTAGGTTTTTTGTACTCTGATATTTTTACGGACTCAGGTTTTCTTTTAGTCAATAATATGTCGGTAAAAGATAGGCAATCGCCATTTTCTACCTCGCATAACAAAGTGATACAGTTTTTTACTGTACAGAGTCTCTCCAATTGGCATGCTGCATCCTCATATCTGTTGCATGTAACTTAAATGTCTTTAATGCATCTCTCTTACGGAAAGACTTTGTTGTTTAAATCCACAGTCAGAATTTCTACATGTGACGTATAGTGATCAATTAACACTGGCCCTTAAACATTACTGGTGACGCTGCCACCGACTTATCAAAAATGTTCGCCTTCAAAAACGGAAGTGGACTTTATCGATGCATAGCAGTAACAGCTACTTCAAGTATGTTAGAGTGGTGGTGACTAAAGGACTATTCATTGACAGTTGTAGCTAAAAAAAATATTCGAAATGCATTGCACGAATACATGACATTTCTCAGATAAACTTCGTCTTCTTTTATCTTTCCCACTTGCCTGTCTGCTCATTTGCGGACCGTTAAAAATATTGTATGAGATTCTACAGAAGTCTTTTTATCTGATCATAGCCTTATCTTTGCAGAGCTAGATAGGTGAGCTATACCAAAGACATTTTAACTTCTTTTTGTAATGACTTTTCTAATGACGATAAGTGGAAATGGAAGGTGATTTTACGAAGTTATCCATATCAGACTAATATATATTGACATACATGTTGAGAACATCAGATTTTATGGTCTAACTTAGCGTCAGTAACCACTTATATCTTCCAAATTTCAAATTGTTGTATTACCTGCTATTTTCACTTGTCATGCATTTCATCTAGTTTCTACTGTTTTCCTATTGACTGACTTTTTATGTTAATAAACTGATTGTGATATTTATATTTTCCCTTCGGGGAACATCTTTTTGGTTTTTAAGGTAAACAGAAGTGTTCTACTTTTCACCTCATTTTATGTTGGATGTCTAACGGATTTGTAAAGCATCCAGTCGACAGGATTGTGACTTGTCAGCTTGAGCAGTAGACTTTCATCCAGTAGATTATAAGTTCGAATCTCAATTCACATATGAATGTACCGGTAGTCGATTTGTATCACAATTCATGTGACCGACTACCTTGTGTACAAACCAGTTAATTTCCTCCATTTGGTAGCATCATATATTTATTACACTATAACCTATAGTTTATTATAAATGCATAAGAAAACTGATTAACTTACCATCATATGGATTTTTATAAATATATCCAACAACACTTAAACCCAAACTTTGTCCATTTGACTTTGTTAAATGTACAGTGTGGATTTCCGTTTGTTCATTCAAAGTATTATCATCATTATTATTACTATGCAAAGGTGGGCCTTGTTGTCCAATATTCTCTGGACTAGGCTGACGGAGGTAGAAAATGATGAAGAAGTAGAAGAGGAATGATCAGGATTGAGATTTTGATAATTTGGTGTACTTCTTTGTTTCAGCTTTGAGTATTCCCCAGATTCACCTTGATAATTTAAAGCGACCGATAAAAAGCGGTTATTCACGTGTTAACAAGGAGATAAGCATAGTATTTGGACTTAAATTTTTTCATATTTATGGTACTGATGAATACAGGTTAGTAGTGGAATCCAAGAAGTGTGTTTTGTTTCATTTGGTCTTTATCAGTTGAATATACCTACTACTGACTAAGTAATGCTGTTTCAACTGGTGTTAGCACCCTGCACTCGGGATTCCGTTCTGACTAATCAAAAATAGGCTACTGCAAGCTACATACTTTCTTCTTACTTAGGGAGAACACAGTTTAAAGGTATTTATATATGTGAGTATGTTTGAGCTGCTCGATTGGTAAATAGGAATTTTCACCATGAATCGAAATCACTATATAGTTTCTCACTAGCTGGCCTAGTGTTGAAAAACATTAATTCATAGGTTGTTTACTTTCCAGGGAAATAAGAATGGACGGGGTATATTTTTATTCAAGGTTCGTATATTCATAAATTGGATAGGCCTAAACTCTAATATAATATATAAGTAGCTCTCCGAAAAGGTCATATTTTTGCTTTTTCCATCGTCATATAGTCACTTCTTTTAAAAGATCCTTGCATCATCTTTATGTTGCTTAAGATAAACCAAACAATTAACTAGACTACTTGACATGTTTGAGATTTGACAGATTGGTGCTACTAATACTGGGGGATAGCTGAAGGGGGGAAGGGGACCTAACTTACCAGCTTGTAAGCCACTGTTTGGATGATGCCACGACCCTTGTTTTCATTTGACCTTCAAGCATCATGCAGTACCAATAAACCAAATCACTAATAAGAAGACATAATTATTCATTAAATTAATCACCGCTATCTAAAATTCTAAATTCACGGTCCTAAAAACATCAATTTTCCATGGAAATGGTTGCTGCACTTGAACGATCTTTATCGTAGCTAATATCAGCTATTTAAGATGCACAAAAATCCATAATCGTGATGAAGTAAACAAGGTGAACAGTAAGCAGTTTCACACAAATGACTTACTATCAAGGTTATCACTTTCAATCTTTTCACTTAACAAATGATTGTTCACTTGTTCAATATCTGATTCTGATGAATTTTGTGAATTAGGGATAACTTGAAGCGTTGAATATGGCTCACTTTCTCGAATTTCCTAACGTACAAAAAAGACAAAAACAGCAGTAATAGCTATAGGTTACTTTTTCAGCTTCATATATTAGTTAGTTGGACAATGAACATTGAAAACAAAGTTTATGTTTGTTACTTTCTAGTGTAGTGACGCTGGAAACTAATCCATTCATTGCTACATATAACATCTTACTTGATTGTGATTCAGGTCATGTGTTTTAATGCAGTTGTATTCGATGAATATTATTATTATTATCATTATTAGACAAGACGTGGTTTCACTGATAAAAAAATTTTTTTTTCGACGAAGTCATTTACTAAGCTGTACATTCGTGAATATATGTTATTTCCTGTTAGGAGGCAAAATATACTGAGTGACTAAAAGAAGTTATACTGATTGATGATTGAAGGTGACATGAAAATCTGAACCGCAGCCGGATTCGAACCAGAGACCACCATATCTTCATCTCACCTTCAATCATCACCCAGCATAAATACTAGTCTGCCAAACTACGGCTATCTCAGATAGTCAAATGATAAAGGAAGTTAATTAATACACAGCTGCGTTTAGAGTGCAAAAATAAATAGGGGATTATGAAATTAAGTATAATTGCGTAATACAGGATAAATGTATGCTAAAGTAGGAAACTGAACGAAGGGTTATGAAGATAAAATTGCGACTGCGTAATGCAAGTTAAAACTAGACACAGTAGGAAAATAAATAGAGGATTATGAAAATATGATTATAATTACGTAGTGCAGGTTAAATCTATGACAGAGTAGAACAAAGAATAAGGTATACATGTGTAGTTACCTGATACAAAATGAATCTATGGCAGACAAGGCTTTATGATGGCCATGGCAACGATAAAGGTTGGATATACCCCCAAACTGGAAATAATTCTAGAACTTTCTGCCCACTATAACATATATTCACGAATGTACAGCTTAGTAAATGACTTCGTCGAAAATAAAAATGTTTCTTCCCTCAAAGCAATCTTGTTTTTTCCTATGATCAAATCGGTATATTTCGCTATTATTATTATTAGAACACAAACATCGTACAGCAAAAACACCGAGAAATGTGCCACACAAAATAATATAACATTATGAAAACATACAGGAAAGGAAAGTGGATAAAAATAAAACACAATAAGAATAGAATGATTAGAAAGACGATCCAGTAAGATACATTCAAAACAAAACATTACTTTTCAGCAGCAGAAAATGGAAGGAAGCTACAGCAAGACTGCCCCTGGTTTCAGTTCTGAGCCATATTTGATAATGTCTCAAGCCATTGAGTTGCGTGACCTCTCAGATCCCACCCAGGGAATCTTGGTGCGTCGCTAAGGCGCCGAAGGTGGCGAAGATTGACGTATGCCACTCTGGCTTTCGACACGCGGTTGAAAATTTCGCCAATCACACCTACATTAACACGCAGCTACCCAGATACACTAACTTTTCAACTACTTCTAACAGCCAACTCACCAAGAATGAGCGCAGGTATAGACTCCTTCAAATCTCGCAAAAGTACTTTGCACTTTAATGATGCAAAGCACTAACCGTACAGACACAATTCGATGAATGTATGAGCTTTAAACTGTTTAGATGTCTGGTCACGGGATCTTAGACCTACCTGGTTGATAAATATTCTTACGAAATTTGACACTGAATTTCCATGTGACTTTTGGAACTAATCTTTTGTATCTTTTCAAATGTCATTAAAAATTTTAATCAACCATCTGTAATACATTATGATTATTTCACCCTCCTCAAAAGTTCATCATTGAACCTGAAATTACACTACAGTTCGCCACAGTATTATTATTATCATCATCATCACTATTATTATTATTATTATTATTATTATTATTATTATTATCTTTGATCTAAAGTTCAGATCAACTTCATCTCAATATGAAGAGAGTGGAGAAGCAGTATATTTGACACAAGATCAGACCAAGAAGCGGGGCAGATGTAGGTGGTTTACACCACTCAATATCTAGTGCAAGGAACCTTCCAAATCAAGTTGTAAACCTTCAAAGAAGTTGGTGATAGACGACCACAGTTCAAGTTCAACACAGAGAACAGAAAGTGGAGGGTCAAAACTACAAGGGACATCCCCACGTCAGCCAGTCATCAGGACAATATGGGAGGCATTGAGAAACATCCCTGAAGAAAACTATGTGGATGAACACTGGAACTCTTTAAAAGAGATGTGGAAGGAAACCTGCATAACCGTATTAGGAAGGAAGAGGAAATAATACAAGGAATAGATCTCGACAGACACATGGAAGCTGATAGAGAAAGGGGAGGAAAATGGTGAAACAGAAGACAAACCATTGGAAGGCTGAACAACGAAAAGAGGAACTGAATATAACCTATGAGGCACTACACTGGACAAATAAGTGGAGAAGAGTGCGCGGAAAGACAAAAGACAGTTCTGAGACACATTGGCAAGTGAAGGAGAACATTCTGCAGGTAGGAGAGACCTAACAGTACTATATCAAATAACCAGGTCACTATCTGTGAAGAGATCAACTCAGACGAAATCAATGAGAGGTAGTGAAAGAAAGTTAGTTACCAAAGAGGAGAAACAAAGGAAGCAATGGGCTAACCACGAAAAGCATTTCCAATAAACTACAGATTTTCATCAACTACCTACGCTCGTTGCTGAAGATCAGATGACCAGAAAGAATAAGCAACAAGGAACTCTAGTTGGCTGGTAACGAACCAACCAAGAACCCATCGTCCAACAGATATACAGAAGGAAGTGGAGATGGATTGGGTATACGCTGAGAAGGCTGATTGAAAACAGCACGTGCCAGGCCAGACCGTTGAGTGGAACCCAAATAGGAAAAGACGAATTGGACGTCCGAGGCGAGGGTGACATGGAGGAGATGGTGTGAGTAAGAAGTGAAAGCTTGTGGACAGTTGTAGAGCCACGTTGAAAAGACTGCAGAGAAGAGAATGAAATTGCGATGTGGTACTGAAGCCTTATGTTCCACTAGGAACCTAAGGGAAAAATAATAATAATAAATATCTGTTTGTCTTATATGATGCTTCTTCTTAATTTAACGCCCATTCGACAGAGGTATTTTTGTCACAGATTGACTCCTAAGTGAAATTCAAATTGAGTAAATACAACCCAAATCTACGCTGGATTTCAACAAAAAGGTAATAGTTAATTCTCTCTGTAGCTTTTACTCTCCTTGATACTCATGCATACATTACTCGATGCCTCATTTAAACAATCAAACACTGGGTAATGTAGTATGTCCTACTTATCGGCGTAGCCGTCTAATATTAATATATATTTTCTATTTGGTAACGAAGTTATCTGGTTACTTCACTGCTGAATAGATCGATCAATAATCAACTAGCTCGGTGGTAAAATCTGTAACTATGGTAGTGAAAGAGAAAAGGTTTGAACTAAGCACATTCGTGAGTATCGTAATGGCAACTCCTTTCTGATCAAAGTCATGAATTATGAAGCGGGTATTTTGTGGCCTCTTATTAACTATTCCAAGTTATCCAATATCGTATATTCACATGCCAAGTGATACACTGAAATTAATTCATTTCTCAGTTGTATAGTGAACGACGTATCTCCAGCGAACTAAAAATGAATCTCTTTTGGATATTATTCATTAGTACTTGCAATTCCCTTTTGTTATTCTGAATTGAGTTGATCAACTTTGATATTCCCTCATTATTCATAATGTTGCAATTTGTTTGGTGGTGGCTAGCAGGGAAACTAAGGTCAGATGCTTCATCCTACTTAAGCTCCGTTAGCTGGATGACTGGTGTTGTTCCTGCTAGGAAGTGAAACCAGAACCCATCGTTTCAAAAACCAAAGCGTTATCCACCAGGCAACTACCAACGGAATTAAAACTTTTCTGAATAGCTTATTCATAGGGTGTCTGAATTCACTGCTGAGTGATACAACTTTGAATCACTGAAGAAACATCAGTTTCACTATGGTTACAGATCGTCTTGTTGACGCGTGCCAGCAAACATGAAACCTGTGTGCCTGGCCTCCTCTAATTTGACTCCTAACATTTAATACATATACTTAGTCTTGAGATAAGATTCATAACTAAAGAAAAAAACAAATGATGAAATTCATCCAGCCAGAGTAAAGAATAAAGAGTTAAATGAAGAACTACAGTTTGATGCTGATGAGGACTTTATTTTTAAGGTAGTATTTATCATGGACTGACATTAATCGCAGAACCATTAAAAAACCGAGGAACACTGAAAAGCCGTTTGTTTTAGTGTAGGTCTCTTCAGGTGCCAAGTTTGATCCTCAATAAGTTCATGCATGTGTACTGCTGAGGAGCTATCAGGTTTTCAGTGGTTCTCCAGCTAATATCAGTCCGTGATTAACACTTCATTTAAAGTAAAGAAATTATTTTCTTTAAGAAGTTTCATCAATTTGTGTTGAGTACTTACATCCAAATCAGATTGCTCCATTTGATTGGCCGATTTAGGAACTATTCTATTGGTTGTTTCCTGTTTCAGTGGTATAATTTCAACAGATTCAGTTGGCTGACTGATCACGTCATGGTCACCTTCGATTAACTGTACCATATCAGTATTATGACCACTACTATTGTCACTATTTCCATTATTTCTGTCATTTGAGTTATCGTTCAACAGGTCGGTGTTATACAAACTGTACAAATTGACGAATGGGAACTGAGTCTGCAACATGACTTCAATATACTGGTCGAGTTGGTGTGTTGGAATAATTCTATGCATAAAAAACAGAAATAAGAGAAGTTATATTGTTCAATGCAGTGAAAGAAGATGACTTGCATACTTACATTACACGAGCTATTCCTTCAGAATGTATTAAGACTTGGTATCATCTAAAGGTGACTGTTGGTGGGATCTGGAATGCGCGTTTCGTACTATTAGGGGCTACTCAGATAGACGGATCTCCACTTACTTACAAGAGTCATCCTTTAAGGATAATTAGAGCATTTCTGAGTCAATGATTGCACTTATTTTAGAGGTCAATCTACTTATAAGTTATAGGACAGCAAGCAATTACTTTTGCAGGCTTTCTTCCGATACACTAATTGTTTTTTAATGTCTAATTGCTGAAAATCAACAGTCAGTTACCTACTGGCTACGTCCTTAGTTTTATGACATCAATAGCTGAGTTGTATATTTGCTATTTATTGTGTATTATCGACACATTATTCATCTGTATAATCTCACAGCTGCAGATGTGTAGACAAAGGAGACTGATTGTGTGAGGATTGAGGATATCTCGTCTTGAGTTGACTCCAGTCGATGAAAATATTGACATTTATGACTATATTCAAATAGTAAGGTATACAGAAAGCTTAAACTACAAGGCAGCGTCAATAGTGGAGTGATTCTATGTGCCACACTAACAACTAATGAAATAGTCAACTAACTTTCTGTACTAAATTTTTAGCCAAATTTTAGAAACCTGATTGGTTATCTCAGTGGTTGGCATGATGGAATTTAGAGACACTTGTCAAAGTGAGTGACTTTGATAGTCATCTTAGGAAGTAATGAACTAGTCACTCAGGTTTGGTGACTCCAAAGGCCACAGTACCAATAAGTGGAATGATCAGTTGGACTTCTTTATTTTGTGAAAATCTGCTGTTCCAACCGAAACATTTAAGTCGTTGTTAGGGTGACCTTTAAAGTGATTCAATTAAGTCTTTTTGTTTTATAAAAATATCCACTCTGGAGATCAAATAGAGAAATCTAATTGGTCAGTCAGTTCAGTAGTTGCTTGGATGGACTTTAGAGTTACTGATTGAAGTCATACATTTCACAGTTAGTAATTGGAACATATGAGACAGTCTATTACTGTTGTGACATCGTCACCTAAGAGTGGCTAGTTGTGGGGTCTGGAATGCACATTTCACACCATTAAGGACTAATAAGTCAGGTGTAACGATATTCGTCTTTGCAGTATCACTGATTTTCATCGGGGCATTTAGGAATCTACTCAACAGGTTATGTGTTGTGAGTTTTCGAATCACACAGCATAAAGAGTCATCTGAGTAAGACATTTGGTTGATATGAAGAATGTTCATTGGTAATTTGCTCATCATGAGATACTTAGGTTCAAGTTTTGATCCGATTAGGCATTTATCTGACGTACTGGAAATTGATTCACAAGTTGGATGAATTATTTCTCCTGATACACCTTCATTTCCCTGAGTCTGCGCATTAATTTCTTTGGAGCCCAAGCCATCCTCAAACTCTTCAAGATCTACCCGTAAATGGGTAATTGGCCATGGACAAAGGTATCACTTCACAGAGGTTGGTCATCCATCAAAGAATTCACTCTGCATGGGTGAAGTCCCAAAGCTTTTGGAAGGGAAATAACCTGCGCTTGGAGTGCGCTGATGGGTTAGTAGAAAGGGTTTTGTGGTATTTAACTTAATTACTTACTGAGCTAAATGTATTTATCTTTCATATTGGCTTTTATCATTTTTGCATCCATCCTTGCATAGGAGTCATAACGTATTATTATTATTATTTTTCCCTTGGGTTCCTAGTGGAACATATGGCTTCAGTACCATATCTCAATTTCATTTTCTTCTCTGCAGTCTTTTCAACCTGGCTCTACAACTGCCCACAAGCTTTCACTTCTTACTCACACCATCTCCTCCATGTCACTCTCGCCTCAGACGCTCAACTCATCGTTTCCCCTTTGGATTCCACTCAACAGTCTGGCCTGGCGTTTGAAGTCTCCAAGTGGTTTTTTCAGTGTATGCCCAATCCATCTCCACTTCCTTCTGTATATCTGTTGGACGATGGGTTCTTGGTTGGTTCGTTACCAGCCAACTAGAGTTCCTTGTTGCTTATTCTTTCTGGTCATCTGATTTTCAGCAACGAGCGTAGGCAGTGGTTGATATTAGCTGGGGAATCCTACCAAAATCGTACTTGACTACCTGTAGTAGGATTAGCTTGATAAAAGTCAAAAGGTGATCAGATCAGAAAAGTCACATAGACTATACATAAAATCTGTCATTTCCGTTTTCCATCATGCAACATAATATATCTGTTTGTCAGAAAACCAGAATCATGTAACTTAGAACCGACGATAGTGGCAAAAAGGCACTGACACCCTATCTTGACATAAATTACAAAACTCACATATGTATTCCTTCTCTTCATCCTATGGGATTTTATAATTGGCGATGAAGGTCTCCATTTCTTTGTCTTTCTTGATGTTAGCATTCACTTGGCAGTGTTGATTAGACTTGTGGCAATTTGGAGTAATATGTGGTTATATCAAGTCTCCTATTCTTAATAATGGGTGAGTTCCCCCCAAAAGGAATGTGTAGACAATAGTAGTGAATATTACATAAAAATTCCCAGTGCAAGATATTTTCGATATTGATAAAATTACTACTGTAACTGAATTCAGTAGTAAAGTAAAAATGTGAAACACTTTGTCCCAGACTGCATTACATATTTTCTAGATTAAGTTGTTATTCATATTTGTAGAATATTTCGTGGTTATAAAAACAACTCAAAATTACAATGAACCCTCAGGAAAAAAAGCAGAAGAAGATTTTACAAATAAATTAAGCTCATATTTAGTGGTCCAGTAGGTGACAATCAGTGGAATTTAGGACGCACGTCCCCTCCGTTTTGGGACTGAATGTACCTGCACACCAGTGAGTGATTTTTTCCCCACTGATATTCAAACCCAACACCCATCACTCCAAAGGCCGACGCCTTATCCACTAGACTACGAAATATTTAATTTTCAGGCAGTATCGAGGCATCCTCATAGGCGCTAATCTGCAAACAAAGGCCAAGTAATTTGGACCCAATAAAGCAAGTAGAAATTACAAGTATCAATAAAAATCAGTTCACATTTATCTCTCAGCTTCTCATCAGCTACAAACAGCTTAGAATAAATACAGAACTAGCACTGGATAAAAAGAACAACATACTTTGTGTTTCAACAAAGTAACCATGTACATAGGGAAATATATCTAAAACAAGCTAAATCAGCTACACACAATGAGCCATAAAATAATGCTAGTGAAGTTTGTTTGTTCGTTTATTCATAGGTACTGAGAAGGAACGTCCTGGAGTTTTACCAGCATGTGCAAGAAATAGTGATAATAATAATCAGGTAATTATGGTAATAGGAACAGATATACCCTACATAAACTAACAGATGAATGTTGAATCAAGTAAGATAAATAGAACCTCGCCCGGTTGACTAGTTCACTAGTTACTAGCCTGTCCTCAGCACAGATAATCACGCAAAGTTGGCAATACGGCTAGCAACACTACCCCGAAAAACAAATACAACCACTAAACAAACTTCAAAGCACAAACAAATTACAAAAAGGAATAATATACTTATTCATCACTGGAATCACGGAGACAAAATGACACCGGTTGGTGAAAGCCCTCGGAAAGCCAATCAGGTCAAACCCACTTCTCTTCCCTCCATGAACGCGAAAGTAAACATGAGGACATAGAATGTCCACACTATATTTTAACCCAGCAAGGCTGTCCAGATTGCGAAAGAGATGAGGAGGTATGGCGTAGAAGTGCTAGGAATCTGTGAGGGATCTGCAGATAGAATGCGAGTGGAATCTACAATTTGTCAACTGGACAATCAATAATCTACTCCGATAGCGTCACCCACACGACAACCACCAACACACTGAGTTGTCGACTGGCTATCATGACGTCCCCCTCCCGAAAGCATCGAAGGCTCTCTCTCATGCAGTCGAAACCAATCTCCACCTCCACCATCTGCATCAGGATCAGGAGCACGAGAGCATGATGGATTCAACTCAAAAGGAAGGAGAGTCACAATCATTCAATGCTACGCTATGCACCCACAAATAATGCAGATGAGGAGAAGAAGGAGGAATTCCACAGACAACTGCATTCAGTAATCGACAAGACCCCACTCCACTTGGTGACATCAAACTTCTTATGAGTGTGGTGACATGAATGCCAAACTGCGGGGAGCAGACAACACGGGAAGAGAACTCATCATGCGTCGAGAAGCACTCGATGATGAATGGGATGAATGAGAATGGAGAACTGTTTGCAGACTTCTGTGCATTCAACGATTTGGTGATTGGAGGCACTGTATACAAACACAAGGATATACACAAGGCAGCGACATGGAGATGATTTCACCAGATGGACACACCACACTGAAAATCAGATAGACTTCATCTCAATCTCAAGTAAGTGGAGACACAGCCTACTTGATACAAGGTCAGATGAGGAAGAGGAGCAGATGTGGGTGGTTCACACCACTCACTATCTACTCCAACGAACCCACCTTCGAAATCAAGTTGAATGCCTCCAAAGGAGTTGGTGATACACCACAGTTCAAGTTCAACAACCCGAACACAAACTGAACTGAAGGACGAAACTACAAAGGAAATCTTCACGTCAGCCAGTCGTCGGGACGAAATGGCAGACATTGTGCAACATCCCTGAAGGAACTTGTGTGGATGAACACTGGGACTGTTTGAAAGCTGTGTGGAAGGGAAACTGCACAACCGTATTAGGAAGGAAGAAGAAGAAGAAGAAGCAAGACAAGGAATGGATCTCGATGGACATATGGAAGCTGAGAGAGCAGTGAGAGGAGTATGGTGAAGCAGGAGATAAATCAGTGCAGTGCAAGGATGAACAACGAGAAGAAGAACTGGCCACAATCTATGAAACACTACACTGGACAAAGAAGTAAAGAAGAGTGCACGAGGAGATAAAAGACACTTCTACGACACATTGACAAGCTGATCACTTCTAAAAACTCTTGAATCGACCACCACCACTTGCAACTCGTCCAGAAATTTAACCAGCAGCCCGGTTACAGAACTACCAGTGAACACATGCCCTCCAGCAAAAGCAGAAGTGAAGTCCTAAATGCCATAAAACTGCTGAAATCTGTAAAGCAGTAGGACCGGATGGAATTACTCCAGAAGCACTCAAAACAGGTGCAGAGACAACAGCGGACATGCTCACACCACTACTGCAGAAGGTTTGGAAGGAAGGAAAAGCACTCACCGACTGACTGGAAGAAGGGCTACCTTGTCAAACTTCCAAAGAAGAGTGGGGGACCCAAGTCTTTGCAAGAACTGACACGAAATCAGGCTCCTGCCTTGTTCCACACCAAGCAAAATATTATGCCACGTCGTCCTGGAGAGACTTAAAAGTGCTGTGCGTTCAAAATTACGACCGAAACGGGCTAGCTGACTTCAGGAAGTACAAATCATGAGCGGACCGAACTGCAACGCTACGCATCATCACAGAGTATAAAATGTGCAAAATCAAGTGGATAGCTGCTTTCCAGGTTTCAATACAAATGATGTATTTAAATGTCTAAAGTCCTTGAATCCCTCCCAAAGCTTAGGTCCTGATGGTGCTTATAGTATCATATTTAGAAAATATGCAGATATTTTGTGTCATCCACTTACAGATATCTTCAATGTATCGTGCTCTAAAAACATAATACCCACTGCTTGGAAGCAGATAAAAATTGTACCTGTGCCTAAGCCATCTTCTGGATCAGATGTTACTTTTCGACCCATCGCTATAACTTCCCCTTTTCTGAAGACAATGGAGAAATTACTTCTGCTTGTGATTGAGCCTTCATTGATGGCCTTCAGAGATCCAAAACAGTTTGCTTACAAACACCGGAGAAGTACTTTAGATGCAGCTACTGTCTTGCATCATAATATTGTTTCTAGTCTCGACAAAGGTGTTAAGTATGTCCGTTGTGCCTTTTTAGATTACTCATCAGCCTTTGACTCTATTCCTAGACCACTTTTGTCAAATAAGCTTGCCATAGCTTACACTGAGCCATGGGTTACAAAATGGCTGCATTCTTATTTTTCTGAAAGGAAACAGTACACTATTCATAAAGGATGCGCTCCACTTCATTGCTTACTGAAGCTGGTGTGCCTCAAGGTGCTGTACTTTCTCCTTTTCGGTTTTCGTTTTTTTTGCACGATTTGCCTTATTCTGTTGAAACTAATTTTATCAAGTATGCTGACGACCTCACGATTTCTATTCCAGTAAACTCTTCTTTGGATTACTCGAAATTAAATGAATTCTTGTCTGAAGTTGGTAAATGGTCTTTCTCAAATGGTCTCAAACTAAACCCCTCTAAATGTCAGACCGTTAATTTTAGCCTCAGGCGTAAACAAGACTTATGTGAGCTGCTTAAATCTCATGACGCCTACTGCATCAATGGTATTTCTGCAGAAAGTAAATCGAGTGTGAACTATCTTGGGTGGGTTTTACTTCTGACCTTTGTTGGTCGTCCCATATTTTATTGACTTGTAAAAAAATCTTTCGTTTAACTTATTAAGTAAAGAAATTGAGGCTTTCTGGTATAACTCAACTGCTTCTTTTACAATTTATTAATTCCTGCATTTTACCTATTCTTCTATATTGTTCCCCATTAATCTTTCCTGGTCTTCTTAAAAAGGACCATGTTATGTTGCGTAGGGCTTTGAAGGCCGTCAGCAGGGTGAGTGGTGTGTCTCTGGCTCAACTGATTAACACTGTAGTTGATCGACATATAAATTCCTGCAAGCTACTAGCTACAGAAATTTTAACTGAGAGTGAGCATCCACTTCATTTACAGCTCTCTCCATGTATCTGCTCAGGAAGGACAAGGAGAAACTACATAAGACTGCATGCTCGTACAGCTAAGTATAAGAATTCGACTGTACCTTACCTTGCACGCATATTTTGTCAGGAAAAAAGTGTTACAACAGAAATCACACATCAACTTTGTAACAGTTAAAAATCTCATTTCAATAATTTAACTTACAATGCAAAATTTTCTCGTTTTTAATATTCTTCACATAACTTAAATTTTTATAATAAAACAATTAAAAAGGCTGCAAAGTAGTATGTATATACTTATATTTTGTTGCTATTGCAATCTATATTACGCTGAGAATTCCAAATTGTACTACAAGTTGTTTGGAATAAAGTGAATTATTATTAAAAAGAGTCAACTCCCTACCTCAACTTCATCGACTTTGAAAAGGCCTTTCGACAACGTCAACCAAAAAGTGATTTGCCATGCAGTTGCTTCAACACTACGGTTTCAGTGCCACAAACCTTTATTAGTCTCATTCAACAACTACTTGAAAAAGTTCAGTAGCGTTTTTTAAGTGAAGACAGGAGTAAGACAAGGTCGCCGCCTACTATCACCGATGATCTTCGTGATTGTGGTCGATTGGATCATGTAGCAAACAGTGAGGTGGGAGAAGAGGGGTATACGCTGACTAGACCGATGAAAAGACCCTAGGAGAAGATTTGGATTTCGCCGATGATGATTTGTGTCTAATATCGTACAAACTCGAAGGTCTACAGGCGAAAACCAACAAGTTGGCATAAGAGGCGAGGCAACGAGGGAAGCTGGGATTTCAGGTGTACGTAGAGAAGACGGAGGTGATGAAGATACCCAACTAACAACTGCATCAACAACAAGCAAATATCACCATCAACGGAGAAACCTGTGTCTTTACCTAGGTAGCATCATTTCAACTACAGGTGGTGGCACAAACGAGGATGTCAAAACCAGGATCGGAAAAGGAAGACAGACTTTTATTAATCTGAAATCAGTGTGGAGATGGAGATCCGGATTCCAATACCAATGTCAAGTCGGTGCCACTGTATGATTCAGAAACTTGGCGCTTCACAAAAAGCACTTCCAATAAACTACAGACATTCAGGAACAGCTGCATACGCAGGCTCGATTCTGAAGATCAGATGGTCAGAATAATAAGAATAAGTAACAAGAATCTCTGGCTGACTGGCTGGCAACGAATCAAAGAAGCAAAAACTCATCGCCCAACAAATATACAGAAGGAAGTGGAGATGGATTGAATTGGACATACACTGAGAAGACATTTGGGGACATCACGAGCCAGGCCGGACCGTTGAGTGGAACCCAAATAGGAAAAGACGAATTGGACGTCCGAGGCGAGGGTGACATGGAGGAGATGGTGTGAGTAAGAAGTGAAAGCTTGTGGACAGTTGTAGAGCCACGTTGAAAAGACTGCAGAGAAGAGAATGAAATTGAGATGTGGTACTGAAGCCATATGTTCCACTAGGAAACCAAGGGACAAATAACAATAGTAACAATAATAAGATACATAGAATAGATAGCAAAACTAAAGGGGTGGATAATAAAACATGAAAGAGAGGATACAGTAGCTGAAACAAACACACGGCTACCAAAGTGATGGTAGGTTATTCATCCTCTCTCTTCTAATACAGGGGTCAATTATCAAGCGTTCGATCGCTATTACGTCTGCAAAACGAAGTAACATAGAAGTTCTTTGCTGATTTATTGTCTCAAAGGCTATAGATTTAGACATATCTATTCTGTGTCCTGAGTCGATTAAATGGAGTGTCAACAGACTTTTGAGAGATTTCGAATAGTTTAGTTTTAGATTTCTTTGGATTTGTCCATAACAACGAATACAGCCTTATCTTTCTGTCCTCCTAACATACTTACCTTGGACAGTAAGTGTGAATTCGTAAATAGAGTTGGAAGTAATGTTGTCCGGGTAATTGTTCATTTTAAACCGATATCCAACATAGTTAGTGTTATACCATGTAACCAGTTTCTCTGCGGGATATGTTCTAGCAAGACAGGCCCATTATCCTCTACTTATCCTTTTGGAAACACTACCTACTTTACTTACCAATTGGATAAATATCCGCTGTAGCTAATTACTTTTGAATACAATTTGATAAAACCATTTAGATAACCGTTATCTACCATTTGTTCCCCAATGACAGAAAACTAACTCGTCGCCTACTTTATCTACTGACCAAAGGCTTTCAAGTCTGTTGAACACCGTTTGAATGTTAGTTAGATTAAGTAATGAAGAGCTACTGAGAAGCATTATGAAAATAAATTTTGCAGTTTACGGACTTTTGATGAACAGTTATCGATTTAACTATCTTAGATAGTCATGATCTCCGGGGGGGGGGGGGGGGGGGTTGTACTGATACTGGGTGATGGTTGAAGGTGAAATAAAATTCTAGGTGGCAGGATTGTTCAAACCAGCGACCACCAGGTCTCCAACTCATTGCTCTACTAACTGAATTGCCAGGCCCCAATACTAAGCAGATTTTTTTTGCTTCACTCAGCCTTTCTAATTCAGTTAGATTCGGACAGCGATGAGACGTTTCAACTAGGGAGTCAGTGTAAGCACGATAAAGCTATAGTAACGCATCACGAATTCACATGACAGTCGGGCAAAACACTTGGTGATTGAAATGAAATTAAGATTTGGTCAGTAGTCGTGGGTTGTAGCCCAGTTGGTGGATCACTGGGCTGGAAATCCAGTGGTTGCTGGTTCAAATCGTGCCTTATTATAGACCTCTATCCCATTTTTAGTCATCACTCAGTATAAATAAGGATCTTCCAGGCAGTTAAGCCGGAAATGTTGAATGGTATTGCCACTTGTTTTTTTAATAAAGGATGCTATTTTGTGTCGAAAGAAGAGAAGAACAATGTGGCTGTATTCCAACATTTATCAGCTAACGAGCCAATAGAATACTTTCATGAACGATATGCGGCATTATAATTTAATACCTTACCACAGACTATGTAACAGGATATCACAGAACATTAAAACAGTTAAAAAAGGAAAATTTTATTTTCTCATATACCTTGTCATTCAAGAACATGATTCTGCTGACACAGAATTTGTTGCTTCAAACTAATTTCACTTAGATCCACGGGATTCCCATTGGCTGGACGAGCCACAATCAGTCTGATCAAAACACTTGGATTTGCCAACAGTCGTTTACTGGTATCAATGATCTCGTCAGACTCCATGTGACTTGGAACAATTTGGCTTGGAGTGGAACTACTTCTATCTAATTTAATATTAGTATCAGTAATGCTAGTGAATGCTGCTGAAAGTGTGTTTGGAGTTGGAGTTACTGTTGTTGTGGCTGTGGCGGTAGTGGCGGTATTAACTGAAGACGGGGTTGTGTTTATCAAAGCTACGTTTAATGTATCATCTATAGGCAGGGAGTCTGCAACTATGTTGGATATCAGCAAGCTATCACTTAAACAACTTGATATGGTTTGACGCAGTACTGTAGCCACCTGATCCGGACCATATCCTCGAACATTGTAATCTCGAATGCAGACGATATGATCACCAAGTCTTAGACGGCCATCCTGAATCAACAACAAAGAGTAGAAAAAATGAAATATTCGAAATGTTGGCATTTTAGAAGAATTAAGAGGAACAAATGCTGTTGGCTAGACTATCTAAGGTATCCCTTATTTCTTGTAGACGACTAACTGTAGTTAAGACGAAGATTCACATCGTTGCGGTAGACATCCAGTTTGCTTTCTGTTTCAATCCAGTTCTCCGTTCCAGCTTCAATCATCATCCAATTGCATTGAACAGAAATCTCCAACTAACTTTCTTCAATGTTCAAACCAGTTACCAAAATGAACAGAAAAATAGTAGTAAGACCTGAAAAATAATTCGAAAAATGTTTTGCCAACACAGATTCATTCGCAGTTGGTAACCAATGTAGCTATCTAGTCCTGACTGGTCAGTTTTGACCGGAGTCGATTGAAACAAGACCACTAAGCTGAATGATGGGACACTGGGTTCAATTGTGTTTTGATAAAACGGTTAGGCAGTAATAATACTATCAAATACAGTTGGCGAGGAAAGCTGAAATAAGTTTATGATGAATACCTCATTCAAAATAAATGACATAGCAAACATATTTTCAAGGTTTTACTGAGAGAATTCTATCCAGCTACCCTCAAGGTTGCATTTCTTAATCGACAGTTGATTTACTTATTGAGAAGAAACTAACTATTTTTAAATGCTTCAGTGTTAATTTGTTAAGCTAAACTTCTATAAACTAGAATGTACAAGACCAATTTCTTAGTCTGGAGGTCATGTTCAAATAATTGGTTAGTTACAGAAAGGAAAAGAGATTATTGATGCCTGAACTATTGAACAGTATGAGTAGACAGAAACTAATCATGTTGGCCTGTAGATATTGTTAGTCATATCTGACTATTTGGTTTGAATACGCCACCGGTGATATTAGTTGGATAGAGGCAGTCGACAGGAAGTCGTGGACCTAATTTTCGTGCTTGTTAGCACTCATCAGCAAGGGGTATTTACAACCCCGACCGAACTGATGTTCCATCTACTATTCGAAGTCACTACACCCAGTGTTGTAGTTATGGACATTATCTCTGAGCTATTAGGGTCATGACTGACCTGTTGTAGAACTAGAGTAGATACACTGATTAGTCACTAAAGGGTATCCAACTTCATGCTGTCTAGTCTTAAGTGCTGACCGAGTTCTACCAGACTAGGCAGCTCAGCATCGCGATGCAGACACGCCTTGATGACGAGTGCCAACAAGTACGAAACATAGGTCCAGGGCTCCCTGCCAATTGCCCCCATCCAACTAAAATCTGTCAAAGTGAATTGTGATGCTGAGCTACCTAGTCTGGTAGCCACATTGCAAAATGATCGGTAGAATTCTATCAAGAACATGAAGTTGGTAACCCTACAGTGACTAATCAGTGTGCACCACTGATGAGCCCAGTGGGCAATGGGTGAAACAATGATTTGCTACTAACTAGTCATACCGTTCAGTAGTATTAATAGCAACAATAGTTTCGCCTTCCTGAAACTAGCAAAATGTTTTGTGAAACAACTTTTCAATTAGGTAGTGAGTCCCGTATACTGCTTCTGATATAATTAGAAGTTAAAGGAATCACACTGAAGTGTCCAGAATTTTAGGAAACATTCTTATCAGAGATCTTATTTCGTGATCCTGATACCATAGCTGGCAAAATACTCAGTTGTAAGAAGTATAGATATGAACTGTGTAACCTGTATATAATTCACAAACTGATCAGTTAGACTGCTGAAATTTTCATCGCGAAAAACCTGTTTATTGATGCTAATCGAACTGCGGCTGAATAATGAATAAAAATAATTTTCAGTGTCCCGCTCTGCAAAAAATGAACAACTTCACTAGTATATTCGTTACAACCCTGGGTCATTTGGGATTCATAATTACAGTCGTAATATTTCGGAAAAGTGGTTGATTACACCACCCTTGTTATGCTGTAGAAGTTAGTTCGTTATGATATTTTGTACTCAGCTGTTTACCTGTGCATTGTGAAACTTATTACATAAGATATTTTGTTCCATCTCTACACCGATTTCATTTCTTTCACTTCTAGAATATTCTTTACACTACGCAATTCGTTCTTTCTTATTTGACAATGGGTCAAACAGTTTGAACCAGATTTTGCTATGAAGAATTTAAAAATGAGACCATTGGGAAAACTAATAATCCCACCGAATGTTAATATCTTCTGAAAAAGGTTAAATGGCGTAGACACATATTCCGGTTGAAGACTCTCTAATCTCCGGTGCTCGAAGCGGTCATACCTTGGTTCCAGTCACACTAAGACGCAGGTTTATTCAACTGAGTTCCAAACAGCGCGAAACGTACATCCTGGATTCCACTGCTGTCTGCTATCAGCAGAGTAACTTCAAGTATCAAATTCTTGTACAATACGGTCTTTATATACATATGTCGACAACAAATTAAGGCTGAAACTAACCAAACACCTAGATCTTTACATAGTGAGAAGTGCATCAGGATGAACGTGTAACATTAAAAGCCATCCTAAGAACAATTAAAATAACCAGTCTAATTTCTTCATTTCACTCGAGGAGGTAGTCTTTTGGATAAGTCAAAGAACCTGAACTGGATTACCCGAAAGGCCATTCTAGCAGTTGCTGAAACAGTCAATTGCATTTCGTCACTTTCAGAAAAACCACCTCAGCTGAAACCGTGAAACCTGATTGGTTAATTCAGAAGTTGCTAGGATAGCTTTTAAAGTCACTCGATGATTTTCATAAGCATATCACAACTATTTGATCAAGGGGAAACAAATACTATAAGGGATATATCCAAAATAAGTACCAAATATTTTGTCACTGTTTACATGAAAGTAAGAATGATACTCTTCGGTATAGCAAGTTTAAATTATGTTGTACTGTCAGTATCCGACAAGCAATAGAATTTCAAGATTTTGCATCAACTTCGTCTGAATACATTACAACGAAGATGAACACGACATGTTAGTTCATCTTATCTTCTAAATGCTATCAAAATGAGGGATTTTTCAAGATTTAACGACGTATTTTTGTAACTACACAAGTGTTTTCTCGAATATATTTTCTCTTTTTATGAAATAAGTATTTTCTTAATACAATCGCTCATTTCCCTTCAGTATACTCAAATGGTGGTAAATCATAGGAATTCTTTGTAAGTATGAAAGTATCAAAGTTACAATAGAAACCATGCGCTTTTATGGAATTAACGGAATCCTCTGTGATGACAGATGCCAGCCAATGACATTTGAATGGTAGTTTCGTCACATTAGGAGTCCACATCAGTCAATGAATTCAGATCGTTGGATTCTGATCAAGTGGATGGACAGTAGCGTGCTCTCTATTGGACTCGAAAGCCCTAAGCATAAACCAACACGGAATTGTGGATGCAACATCTTCAGGAGTCTCACATACGCAAGAAGAATTCTGCCAGTTGCCGTTGGTCTTCAGTATTTCTCCAGATGATATACATCCATGCTGAAAACTGCTTTTACAAAGTGACTGGCTGTACCGACATCATCCACAGTTGATCGCAATAAACCAATTAAGTGACCACCATCTATGGAGCCAAATTACTTGGCATTGTAATGCACTTGGCTTGTTATCAAACATTGGTGAAGGTTGGGATGAACCCTCTGTGTTAGATTTTCTTCTGCTGAGTACTGCTTGATAAGTCATAAGTGTGAAACTCATCTGCCGTTCATTTGATTCAAGAGTGAATCGTTCCGCTGCATAATTTCCGCAGCAAAATCTCAGTGAGTTTGGATGTTATAAGCACATGCTTACTGCTCACCTAGTTAACAACATTTTCTAACTAAAAGCAGGTGAGTTTATAGATTTCCTCTTATAATTTTACCGCCATGTATGTCTTTCATCTTCAAAGCTCTTAGCGCTTGACTTCCTGTATAGGGTGCATTTTCGATTGTTTATTGTTCGGGTAGTCGATGTTTTCAAAAGGGTTCCACGTAATCCAGCAACCATTTCACTATGAAGAGTAGTCCTTGGACAATATCTGGATTTAAGTCACCTTTAGGAAATATTATTATTTCATATTAGTCGCTTTTAACATATTTGAATAGTGTGAATAATGTAAATATTTAGAAAAACATGGTTTTCTTGTCTAGCTTACCAGTTCAGCTGCTCCACCAGGTGTGATATATCTGACAATTACACCGGTACTCTTGCTTCCACACATACCAAATCCAAGATGTGTTGCACTATCGACCAATAACTCAATCACTTCTACTTCTGTCCATTCGGTATTAAGCTGTGTTCAAAATAATTGGGTGAATCGTTTAGTGAAATGTATTTATTTATTTGCACTACTTACATTTTGTAAGAAGTTAAATGAAGCAAACATACATTATTGGTGACGGGAGTTAGTACTGGAATGGTAGAATATGAATTTGTCTGTTAGACTGGAAATCAAATGGTAAAAGGTATCTGTTTTGGCTTTTGTCATCTGACTAAAGCTGTTGCTATAAAAGTTATAGATTCAGACTTGTGTACTGAAAATCCTATTCTAAGACTGGCAGTGTGAAAATTCTTAGAAGATACAACTTATTATTTGGAACTTTGTTTCCTCTCACACGTAGCAGACAAACTCTGCTTTCTGATTCGAACTTTTATTGACTTCTGTTAAACAGCATATTATTTTTTCGATGAACTGATTTCACCAAATTTGTTTCTTGTTTTGACCGAATTTCATTTCCGATATCCAATTAACTCCTTACGTTTTTCACCGCCTTCAACTTTTTATCACTTTTAGACAACCTGTCCTATAACAAGAACACCACTAGAGTTAACATACAATATTACTGCTTGATCTATTGATACTTCCTGAGTGTTTCAGTTTCGGATACTGATGTTCAACCGATTGGAAGCCTTGTTTAAACAAACTTCCTTGTTCATTGGTACTCACCAAGCAGATATTCTTGTAGCCTCAGAGATACAAAAGTCTCCCCGAGTGGGTTTCCATCACCACTGACCTACTGTAGGACTACAGTATGGACTGGATGGTACGCGATATAGCTGTCGATTCCTATTTACTTAA